CCATAGGAAGACAAGCTGAATAGCTTTTGGAGTAATTAGGGCAAAGGACACAGAGGTCAACCGCTTCACGATTGATACATGTCTGCCCTAAACAGTTACTCGACCGAACTCGCTCACTTCTCGACTGCTTCTCAATCACATCCCAATCACATCCCAATCACATCCCGAGCACTTCTCGACCGCACTCGATCCTTCCGGTCACTACTCAACCAAGGACACAATTACGTGCTGATCTAATCACATTTTTTTCGTACAGGTATATTGATACTAATGAAGTTAATCGCTTCTAGAATTGGTAGTAACATGTGACTGCGACAGGCAGGCGCGGATCCAGGATTTCTTAGAGGGCGGGGGGGGGGGCCAAATTTGAAATTATGCAAGCCAAATATTGGTACGTAATGGTGACACGGCAGTGGCAAAAACTTTTTAGGGCGGGGGGGGGGGGGGGGGGGGGGGGGGGGAGGGGGTAGACAAATTAAATCCCCATCACCCAACTTCCTTGCAGGCCCCGCTGAACTTTTCTCGACGGGGGGGTCAAGGGGTGGAGCCCCAGAAGCTCAGGGGTTTTATACATTAAATTACTGTCAGATGAGCATATTTGATACCTTATTTGTGACACTGGCAGGTCACAAATTGGCGTGGGGTCCAGGGGGCGGAGCCCCCGTAGGCTCAGGTGTTTTAAGCAATAAATTACCGTCAGATTAGCATCCAGCCGTCTGCCTTCAGGGCCCTAGGTGGGGTCCAGGGGGGAGGGTTTTATAGGCATTTAATCAAGGTTAGATGAGCAAATTTTTTGCCTTGGAAATTGGAAAACTTACGTTGTCAGATATTTCGTTTAGTGGCTTGGGGGGAGGGGGAGGGACATGGGTATTTAGGCATTTAATCAGGTTAGATGAGCATATTTTGATACCTTGATTGTGGCACTGGTAGGTCATTAATTGGTGTGGGTCCAGGGGGCGGAGCTGAGGGGTTTTAGGCATCAAATTACCGTCAGATGAGCATCCAGGTGCCTGACTTTGGGCCCTAGGTGAAATCCAGGGGCCAAGCTCTCGGAAGCTCAGGGGTTTTAAGGCATCTACTGACGGTCAGATGAAACGTTTTTAATTTTTTAAAAATTATCATTTTGGGGGCCCTCGGAAATCGGAAAATTGCGTCGTCAGATATTTCGTTCAGTGGCTTGGGAGGGGGGGGGGGGGGGGAGGAAAACTTTTTTGTTGCTTTCTTTAGCATACAACCTTTTTTTATTGTCGGGGGGTCAGCCCCCCTCCCCCCTGGATCCGCAACTGCCCACAACTGTAACTGTTCGATTTACATCTCTTGAGTGTCTGAGATGAACTGAACGCTGATCAAAAATGGGTATTGTACCATCAGCTGGCGATAATATTTTGTGTAACCGCCCAATTCACGAGTCATCTTAGATCCCTGTTCGAAAATGTCGATCTGCTCCGGTCGAGATTGTTCAGAGATCGTGTACATCTAGTTGGTCTAGTAGGGATCGCGTTGGGATTGTATGTAGATCGGAATGATCTAGAAGAGATCAAAGTTGTGGTCGACTATACGTCGTGCAGGAGTTGTGAATGGTCGAATGTGGGTCGTCAATGGTCGAATAGCGGTCTGGAAGAGCTTGTGTTTAGGCATGTCGGGATTGGTTGGAGAAAAATGGGTGATCGGGCTTGATTGGGCTTGGTCGGGTTGGTTTGATCGGCAATGGGAACCCCCCATAACAAAACCTTAACTTTTCAGGGAAAAAAACATAGCTGATCGCATTCTCCTGATTGCGTTTCTCAAGAACCGATTGATGGATTCCCTCCAAACTTAAGTCATTTATGTATCTTGCCAGTGAAAAAAATACACGGGGGCTCAGGGCGAATTAGCCCCGAAATGCCCAAAAGAGCCCTGAAAATCAGAAAAGAGCCCCCATAAATTTGCATAGAGTTCAATGCAAAACAAGTTTAAGAATGTTATATTCATGCGGGCAAGCTTGAAAAGTAGCCCCCGAAAAATAAATATTAATTTTTTCCCTGTATCTTGCAGAGCTAATGAACTGATTAGATTTTCGGGGTCATGAGGTCAAAGATCATAGGGCTCATTATGTATGCAAAAATAGCTTGTGGTCACATTATCATAAGAACCAACAGACAGATTAACATCAAACTCAAGACATGTATATGTATCTTGCAGAGCCAATGAACTGATTAGATTTTCGGGGTCATGAGGTCAAAGATCATAGGGCTCATTATGTATGCAAAAATAGCTTGTGGTCACATTATCATGAGAACCAACAGACAGATTAACATTAAACTCAAGACATGTATATGTATCTTGCAGAGCCAATGAACTGATTAGATTTAGGGTCATGAGGTCAAAGGTCATGTGGTTCAATATGTATGCATATAAATACCTTGTGGATGCATTATTATTAGAACAGACAGATGGATTTCAATCAAACTTGAATTTTTTGCCTCCGTTTTGGTTTGTAAAATTGCTCTATGGCGGAGGCATCATTTTGAACTGTGTGCAGTCGAAGTTCAATCTAGTTAATTATAACAGGGAAACAATTGTAACTCATTTATTTTTAAAATACTAAAATATGACAGTTGACAAATGTGTTTCGTTTATGCAAAAACCTTCACCCCAGAAGAGCATAAGCATTTGCAATTTCCATTCTGGCGATGGTAGTACAAAGGATAATAGCAGGTGAATAAAATATTTCATCACAACACACAACTGGGAATGAGGAAGCATTCATAAATTTGAATACAATTTTGCATAGTGCATCAAGTTATCAAGAAAAATGATGATGACATTTCACAAAATCTTTTACGAACTTTGAAAAATTGATACTATTCATAATTATTGATTTAAAATAGTGTATCAAAATTCACATTTTTCATTATTAACTGGAAAAAATTACTCATATTAGTGCAACCACACAAAAACTATATATGAAAATGTGGTTAACTTCCTTGCCTTGTAATAAAATGGTATAGTCCAATGGGGGTAACCCTGGGAGGGGATGCTACGCTTTGGGTTGACTTGTTGGAGTGGACTTGCCATTTAAGAACCACTAGAGATATGGGGTTCAAATTTGGGGATATTATGTATCATCATTAGTACATTTTAGTGAACTACTCGAAGGAGCTAAAACAAGTTATTCCCAATCTGAACAGAGAAGCTTGTACCGAGCCGTAGACCACACGCCTTGAGGTCACTTCCGAGAAGAGGGAGGGGGGGTCGCGGAAGTATTGGCGTCAGCAATAAAACCGGTAAGGTTCGCGCCATTACACCGCATGCTCTCAGCTCGCCTCATTATTTCTATGGTCTTCACGAGAGATGGTCAGATTTGTGAACAAAAAGAGTCTGGTTTTCGAGAGTTTGGGTTTCACCCGCATTTGAGTGTAGTGGACGATGTCATCAAATTCCTGCCGTATGTTCTTCCCAGAGAATTTTGGGACGTACATTTTGGTAATTTATACGTCTGCATTTAATTCGTCCAATTCGCGGCATTCTTGCGAATTTGGACGCCTATAATCGCTTATATAAGAAATATATGTGTTGTCTGAATGTAAAACTAGAGCAAGCGGTCTGTTTATAGGAAGGGGAGACAAAAGGTTATGATATTGGAGGATTGTTTATTGCCGTATCTATACAATTATTATACGAGCGTGACTTGTCCATAAGCTGTGGATACAATCAGTATTGCCCAGGGAGTTAAGTCGTTTGGGCTCACCACTTTTTCGGTTGGGGTGTGGGGGGGGGGGTGAGCAGGATCCTGTCCGTTGAAGCTGAGTTTGCCTGGCTTATGCCGTATGTAACGCTCAGGGTGTCCGGCTGGAAGTCATCTTCGCTCACCCATGCCTCTTGTCTGTGCAAAACCAGCAAGAGATGGGGAAGTCCCGTTCGCTTGGCCAGGCGAATGGAAGCATTGTTACGGCTAGTCAAAAGATATTACTTTGTCGCCCGGCCGGGCCTCCTATTGGTTCCTTACAGATCGCTCTCGACATATAATGCTCGAAGTATTTGATTTGCATTCATTGTTGTTTGTTATATTTTCATTATAATTACTTTGCTGACCAGCTTGATTGTAATCAGCTCTCAATAAAGACCATGGTCAATCGCACATATACTTACAAATTTGTTTGATTTGATTTGATTTTTGATTTTGATTTATTTATTTCTGTTTGATTTTCTTTTTCTTTTGCATTTTTACAAATATATAACAAACAAATATTGCAAATGTACACATGACAAAAGAATATATGTAGAATAAAGTAAGGCTGGGTGTAACTAATCGAGAACATCAAACAGGAGGGTTGACAAAATAAGCAAAGCTTGATAGTATGACTACCCTCAAAGGATACATAATTATACAAATATGGAGGAACAAAATATTGGTAAAAGGGGGAAAAGACAGAAAAAAAGAAGAGAAAAGAAAGAGGGGATGAACATCAATATTCACAGACTTATGTGGTAGTTGGATTTCAAATTGATATATAAAGATTTTAAATAAGAAAAGAAATGCAAATGTTGACTTCTTCTTTCGTCTCAGAGTGGGAATAATAGATATTCTGATTAGATTTTTTGGTAAATAACTCAATGGTCAATTTTTAAAAAATTAGAGGTATTACCCTTGTTATCTCAAGAATTTCTTGATGCATGAGCTTCAAACATGGGGACAGTATTACTATATGAAAATGATCCAATTACATTTGGGGGCTAGTACTAGTTAGGTATGATCAGAGCCATCAGCTGACATTTGAATATAAGCTTTTTTGTTTTCATTGTCATATGTCAAATATAATTCCATCCATTTCCTATACTTAATTTAAAGTGGAAGCATATAGGAGATGCAGTCACATTTGTCTTGTTATTTTCTAAACTACAAAAATATCTCATGTGAATATAGAAAACAAATTTAGAAGGTGTCTTAGTAACACGTTCATTAAACAGGAATTAAAAACTCTACCTAACTTTTAATTTGTTTTACATCCTTCTAACAGTGAGCAGAGCCCCTACCAAATTTGACAAAGTTGTCAAGAGAGAAATATGCAGGATTTCTACCCAAGGTAGGTTATTTTGCTCTGGTAAAGTTATTGTTTCTTTCTTTAAATGTCAAAATTGTCTTTAATCTTTCTCTGCCTTTTTGTAATATTGTCTCCCTTGTTCTCACCTGTCTGTGTTTAATCATCCATTGTTTTTGTGTCCCTACCTATATCTGCACCATTGTCTTTGCTCTTAATTGAATTCAACATCTTGCTTTTCTTTGTACATGATACGTTATTACTCCATGTGGTTTTCTCCCCATGATTATCTAAAGTGACATTAATTTCCATTTTACTTGCAGTTGCAAGAAAGTCTTTTTCTATTTTCCCTACTATCTATTTATTTTGTATTCTTTTATAACTTGTATAGATTTTTTTATAATTTTTATTTGTTCTTTGTAAATAATTTGTAATTAATATTGGACAATTCTTGTAATGTATTTTTTTGTATAGACATGTTGAAAATCAGCGTTACGGCTGAATGCTGTTTTTTTTTTTAAATCACCATATTGTAATAAATATATTTTTTAAATCACTGCTTGAGCTTTTATATTCATACCCTATTATCATCACATTATGCTTTTGCGCTCTCTCTCTCTCTTTACTTCTTTCTTTCTCCTATAGCCACAAGAACCTTTAGCTTTATAGATGGTGATACGTGTGAAGCACAGAGCAGCTATCTTCTTGCAGTCACTGAAAGGCCTTGTGAAGGGAGCTCCGGTGGGGAGAGTGTCTACGGTGTGTGCATTGTTGAAACATCAATTGGCAAATTCTATGTGAGTAACATTGTGAAAAAGCTTTTTCAGTTTTTGAATGATATTCATGGATATTTTAGTCCAAAGTATATATACGTACACTGTAGTTGCGTACTGAATGTTATTTATTTCTTTGATAGTGGTCACTGTCTATCTAAGGCGTTTGATACCATTGACCATGGTATCCTCCTCAGGAAACTAGAGCATTATGGAATACGTGGTGTAGCATTGTCTTGGTTCCAAAGCTATTTGTTTGACAGGACTCAATTTGTTGTGGTGGATGGTAGTAGTTCCCAACTTGCTTCTATTAAATATGGTGTACCTCAGGGTTCTGTTCTTGGTCCCCTGTTGTTTTTAATTTATATAAATGATATAATACACTCGTCAACATTATTCTCATACTCCCTGTTTGCTGATGATACCAGCTTGCTGCTGGTTGATAAGAAGGCTGAAGATTTATTACTAATTGCAAATCAAGAGATTCAGAAACTGTATGCATGGTATTGTTGTAATAAGTTATTGTTGAATGTTCAAAAGACCAAATGTGTTATTTTTCGCTCAAAGGGTAAAAAGCTTCCAGATGGTATTACTTTTCTTAATGTTGGAGGCCATGATGTTGCGCTTAGTGAAAATGTTCAGTTCTTAGGGTTAACTATGGATGAACATTTATCTTGGAAGAATCATTTAGACGTTGTATGCACTAAGTTGTCTCGAAGTGTAGGTGTCATTTTTAGATTGAAATTTATTTTACCTGAAAGAGTGCTGATAACATTATATAATAGTATTATTCTTCCTTATTTGACATATTGTAATGTTGCTTGGGGAAACACTTTTAAGTCATATCTTGATAAGTTAAGAGTATTGCAGAAGAAGGCAATAAGGCTTATTACTAATTCTAATTATAGACATCCAAGTTCTCCATTGTTCCTTCGATTAAGAATGTTACCACTAAGTGGACTTGTGTCAATCAATTGCGTATTGTTTATGTATAAACTTCAGTTTATGCCTCATGAATGTACGTTAAAAGATTTATTCCGTACAAACTCACAAATTCATAATTATAATACACGTCAAAGGGGTCTTATTCATCAGCCTTTTGCAAGAACAAATATCACTCTGACCTCTTTCCATATCTCTTGCATCAAAGAATGGAACAGTTTGCCTGATGATATAAAATATAGTACAACTCTTTCTAGGTTTAGAAGGTTATCTAAAACGTATCTACTTGGAAGACTGACATAATTCTACTTTGTATCTTAATAATTTCTCATTCTCAAATGCTTATAGACCACTAAGGACTGTGTGTGTGTGCGTGGGTGCGCGCGTGTGTGTGAATATTTTTTTGTGTTCTATATTCTGTAGCTTAGTTTGTTTCCATCCCTTGTATAAACATTATATTCTTTTTATTCACCTTGCCATATCGTTAATGTATGTATTTTGTTGACTATAGGGCCCCGCTCACAAGCTTAGCTTCTACAGGGGTCCTAAAACCATTCACTTAATGATGTACTATTACCAGTCTCTTTTTCATGTAAAAGATTATATCATGTTTTGTGTGGTTTTGAATAAATGAACTTGAGTAGTTGAGTAACTTGAGTAACTTGAGTAGTTGAGTAACTTGAGTAACTGTGTAATTTTTTGCTGTATTTCTCTCGTATATCTTCTCACTGAATTACAGATTGGCCAATTCCAAGATGATCGTCACAGTTCTAGGTTTAGGACGCTCATTGCTCACTATCCCCCTGCACAGGTAAGCCTAATTCATTGACAAGAAATTTTGGTTTTTCTGTCTTCTTTTTTTCCCTTCAAATACGTAATTAGTTGATAGTAACCCTGTGCTAGAATTCTGACTTTCTCTGGTTCTGTAGGAAGATATAAAATGAATTATTAAATGAACTATTAAATGTAATTCTTGCTTCATGACTGAGGTATTGCCATTCTTGTCAAAGATTTTCTCTGTAGACTTGACAATGGGGATGCTTTTAACACATTGAAGGTACCTATGGAGAGGAAGCATTGACGATCAATGTGTATGTTATTCTTCATATCACCACTGCCAATAACTTCACTCTTTGAATCTGTTGAGGTCTTGTCTGAATGCGGCAAGCTCCTCTCAATTAAGGCCCAATAGTTCATGTTCAACAACCATGATCTTCGTTCTCAAAGATACTTTCCAGTCTAGTTCAGAGTTCTGTTTGAAATGCTAGCATCCACTCTTGATGTTATGTTTTCTATCTCTTTCACTTAACTTATTCCTTGACAACTCTTTGAATTTTGGTCAGGTTTTGTTTGAATGTGGCAAGCTCCTTTCAAAAGCTCAATAGCTCTTGTTCAACAACCTTGATCTCCTTTCTCAAAGACACTCTCCTGTTTGGTGCAGAGTTTTGTATTCAATCTCTTTCACTTACCCAATTGCTTTGCAACTCTTTGAATTTTGGTCAGGTTTTGTTTGAGCGTGGCAAGCTGCTTCCGAAGACCCAGCAACTCCTGTCGAACAACCTGGTCTCTGTTCTCAAAGACTCTCTCCTGCCTGGATCAGAGTTCTGGGATGCCTCCAAGACGCTCAAGGCACTCATGGAGAAGGGCTACTTCGAGGACAGCGAGAGAGACAAGGATGGACAGGAGAATGGTGAGAAGAGAGGATTGAGCTGCTGGCCAGATGAACTGAAGGAGATGCTGTCGGATGGTAAGAATATTAAGCTTTTCAGTTTGTGCCCAGCAGAACGACATGAGTAGTTGTGTAGCCAACAATTGTATATTTATTAAAATACATTCCACTAGTGTTGCCATTATTTGATAACACCTACCCGACACATTTTGGTCTGTACATCGTATAATTATTAGTAGCATATTACTCCAGCAATCAAAAATTTTAACTGAAAGAGATTTGACAAAAATTAGTGTTTGTTCCTTCTGCCAGGCGCACTATTTTATATGATTTACAGTCAACCATGTTTGTGTATCCCGCTCAAGAGAAACAGGAAAGAAAAGCTAGTCTTTATGAGCAAGCTGTGTTCCTTTAATACAGGCTACAGTTAGTAACAGTGCTAAAGAAAAAACAAATTTGGTCTTTATGGCCAGGTGGATTTTTCAAGATTTGACTGTAAAGGAATTACTATATGCCATGCAATTGCTTTTCACTCTACTTCTTATTTTCCATTGATGATCTTTACAGCCGACTCTCTTGGTCTAACTCCCAAAGATGGGTGTGAGATGGCTCTGTCTGCTCTTGGGGCATGTACATGGTAAGAGATAACCTTTAGTTATAGAAATTCAAGATTCTAGAAAAAAATAAGTTGGAATAGGCTTTGTCTGAAGGTCTCCTGGTAATTATGGAAAAGAATCTTTGTCAAATCTTTATTCAAAATCGCTTTTGATATGTGCTAACGAGGAACTAGACCTTTGAAGTAGACTGTCAGGTGGCTTCTCTCAGTACATGTAGGGCCAATTACAAATGCACAGTATTTCCTATTGAAATGGTCTTTCTAGACAGGTGGTCTCTGAAGTAAAGAAAAGTGGTCTTTATAGGCAGTTCATTTCAATTCAGTTGGCAGTTGTTTATGCACACAGGTTCTTTTGAGACATGTTTCAGTGAAGACCACTGGCTAGGGGAAACCAAAAATGTGGTCTTTGGAAACGTGTAGTCTTTCTAAACAGGTGGTTGTTAAAAGAAGGTTTGACTTTCTTCCCTGACAGGTACCTCAAGAAATGCTGTCTAGAGCAGGAGCTACTGTCCATGAGAAACTTTGAGGTGTACAAACCCCTGGATGTTGAGGCTAGCAAACCCTCCTCGCCCCTCCCATCCTTCACATCAAAACAACACATGGTGAGACATTGTTGGTCTTGGGTTTTAACTATGATTAATTATATACTAAATATACAGAAAACTTTCATTGGTTGGGGTAATCATAACATGTAGTTTAAAGGGATTGTGTAACTTTGTCTCAGATTCTGAAACAAAATCCTGGATTTAGCTCATGCTGCAATGATGATTAACCTTTAGGTCAGTCAGGAACCCCATGACCCTTACAAGCCAATCGCCTGTCTAATTATCAAGATATTTATAATTGGAAATCTAAATCAAATTTTGCGTTTTCCTAACAGTTTTCATAACACTACCGTCTATCGGGTAAAATGTGTATGGTAAAGCCGGTCTCTCAAAGATTTTTACTTTTTTTGCAGCACTTTGTGATCATTTTGAAGGACAATTTTTTAGGGTTTCAATATTACACCCTGTTACAGACACTAATAACACGTAGGGCCATGCATCTCAGATTTAACATTGTTAAACAATGCCTTTAATCTACTTTCAACCTTATAATTTACTGGTAGGAGGAAAGCTTTTCGTTCAATCTTTTGCGCTTTCTCAAGCCAAGTGATTATTCTTACAGTTTCTTGCTGTCTGCTGCCTTGAGATCCCTGGGTGGCAATGAATAGCCAGAGTCCCTATTCAGTGAAAGACTAATCCTTTTTATTCAAATGGATTCTTTCACCTCTCTTGACCAGAAGTGTGTTTCAATGTTAATAATATGGGCATCATCCCATCCAATGTTGTGTCCAGTATTAAGGGCTTGTTGTATTGTATTGCAGGTGTCATGGAAAGATAAAAAGACAAATGTGTGGGTACTAGAAAAGATTGGAACAGACTTGACCATCAGAAGGGGAATCATGGAAAGAAAACTTAACTATTTTGGGCACATTGTTAGGAGGTCTGAAGGTATTGAGAAGCAAATACTGCAAGGAGCAGTCAAAGGAAAACGGGGTAGAGGTCGTCCACCAATATCTTGGACTGATGATATCAACAAAGTGTCTGGACAAGAAATGAAAGGTGCAACACAAATGGCAGGTGAAAGAGTTGCATGGCGTGCTCTCGTGAAGGCCACAGCAGCGCTTTACAGCGCCACCTGAAGTTGATGATGATGATGTATTGTATTATAACTGTTTAGAATTGTGCCATTATGATTTCTTGTCAAAGATATACATTTATGTTTTAAACTTCGAAATCTCCCATGCAATCCGTACAAGCTACTTTGTGAAGAAAATAAATATTACCTGGTATTCTTATTCTAAATCAGCCAGTGTGGGATTTTGGAAATTTTGTTTCTAGGTCCTAGACAGTATCACACTGAGTAACCTGGACATACTAGAGAATAGCAGTACAGGGACTAGAGAGGGCACCCTACTTGAGACTCTGGATCGCTGCCGGACGCCATTCGGAAAGAGGCTCTTCAAACAGTGGCTCTGCACCCCTCTGTGCAATCCAAAGTCTATTAATGACAGGTCAGTTTAAATCCCTTGCTTGAATTTTTTTTCTTTCCTTTTATCAAGGTTGATTTTGTAATATATCTCTAAAAGAATTTGGTATTGGATCAAATGTAGCAGATATTTCTGTTTGATGTTTGTATATTATGATGTTTGTATATTATGTATGGTGAATTATGGAAAATGTAGGAAGAGTATGTAAATGCAGATTTCTTCATAGATCGATTTCTTTAAAGCCTTGACTGTTGTCATGCTATTCCACAGAATATGCTTAGAACATGGTGTCTGTTTGGAGCCAGAAGGGTGTTAATTGATATTCATTGGTTTGAAAGAGACGTAACAATGTTCTCCCCCCCCCCCCCCCCCATTGAAATCTTAATATTAGAGGTTTGCATGTGGAATGTGGTTCACTATAGTGATGAATTGAGCACATCTAAATGGCATACAATGCCTTTGAATGTAAAGTCATGTTTTTTATGTCACTCTTCTCAACCTGTCATTCCAGACTGGATGCCATTGCAGATCTCCATAGCAACCCGGACATCGTAGCAGAGGTTGTGGAACTTATCAAGAAGCTGCCTGACCTTGAGAGATTGCTCAGCAAGTAAGTACCGTACTGTAAAAGCTGTCCATGTTTGTCCTCCCAAGAGTACTCACACTCTGTTAACAGGCACACACATTTGCCCTGCAAATATCTTGGTCTATATTAAGTTACGAGTCATCTATAAAAATAGGTATTTCTAAGAAAATCCACACATCAAATAAGACCGGAAAGTTAGAACACCAAGTGGAATAAACGTTGCTATTTTCAAAATTGAAAACCTTGTACAATGTATTGCAAAAGATCACATGATACCTTTACAGAAGTATATCAGGGGAGGAGACTATCCTTGACACTGCATAATAGACTATTTTTGTAATGTAATCAAACTTAATGTATAAATATTTGTTAAGTGCCAAGTTACAAATTTTTTAATTCACTTGTTTAATACAAATAATTGTACTTCAATATTCAGAGTGTGAATTGTTGCTAGGTGGGACAAACATTATGGCTTGTCCTATCTAACAACACTGAATGTATGTAATTCAGATTCTGACTATTTAAATACTATTATTTTTAACAGATGAATGAAAAATTGTAACGAGCAGGGAAAAAAATATTTACAAATTTTAAGGGGCTTCTGTTCAAGCTTGCTTGCATGAAAATAACACTCTTTAATTTGTTTTGCATTGAACTCTATGCAGATTTTGGGGGGCTCTTTTATGACTTTCGGGGGCTAATTCGCCCCAAGCCCTTGTGTATTTTTTTCTCTGGTAATGAGGCACTTAACAAAGATTTGGTTTGATTTGATATTGCAGGATCCATACGCTTGGTTCTTCAAAGAGAAACTCAGATCATCCAGACAGCAGAGCCATCTTCTTTGAAGATGCTGTTTACAGGTGAGAATCCTTCCTTGCTACCCTTTCTTGTACAGATAAAACTTGTAATTTTCCTTCTCTTCTTGTTCTTATCTTTATCCCATGTGTGTCCTCCTAAATGTAACACAATCATTTTTTGCCCACACTTACCTGTAAGTCATTTATTCTTTGTGTATTAACCAATCCTTCAACTAGTGTTAATCCTCTTCATGTCCATTGATTTAATAATTTAATGGCCCAATGTGTGTGTGTGTGTGTGTGTGTGTGTGTGTGTGTGTGTGTGCAGTGGATTTTGAGAAAGCTTTCGACTCTGTATCTCATAGATATTTATTTCAAATATTGAAATTGTTCGGTTTTGGAGATTCATTTTGCTCTTGGGTAAAATTATTGTATAAAGGGATAAGTAGTTGTGTTATGAACGGTGGTCACTCCACGGGGTATTTTGAAATAGAAAGGGGAGTAAGGCAAGGGGATCCATTATCGCCATATTTGTTTTTGGTTGCCATCGAAATTTTGGCGCATGCAGTAAGGAGGGACAACGGTATTAAAGGGATTACATTTGGAAAATCTGAAATTAGGCAAGTGTTATATGCAGATGATATGACAATATTTTTGAAGGATATTGATTCGGTTAGAAGGTTGCAATATATTTTTGAATCATTTGAAAAAATTAGTGGTCTTAAAGTGAATAAAACAAAGACACATTTTATGTGGATGGGTGAGGATGAGAACAAACCTGATGGGCCTTTATTTGGAAATTTGGTTAAGGAAATACATATTTTAGGGGTTAGTTATTCATTAGATCAAAGTTTAAAAGATAATTTGAATTATAAAGAAATTCTAAGTAAAATAAAAAAATTGCTTGTATGGTGGAAACAAAGAGATTTAACTATTATGGGTAAAATACATTTGCTAAAAACTTATGCGCTTTCAAAATTAAATTATATTTCATCTCTCGTTATTGTCCCTCATTGGGTATATAAAGAAGTTGCAAAAATTTCATTTGAATTCATATGGAGGGGGAAAGATAGAATTAAACGGGCAATAATGTATCAGGATTATGACTTTGGAGGATTAAGAATGATTAATTTTGAAATGTCCGTTAAAATACAGCGCATAATGTGGATAAAACGTCTTTTATATGGAGAGAAAAGTTTGGGATGGAAATTATTTTTTGATCATTGCTTACAGTTTGTGGGTGGTAGATTTATTTTTTTATGTGATTATGATTTAAACAAGATTAAACTCGTTTTAGATATTCCACCATACTATATGGAAATGTTGCAAGCATGGCAAGAGACAAGTAATTTAAGATATTTGGAGGGTTATATTAATCCAATTATTTTTAATAATCAGAATATATGTATAAATGGAAAAAGTATATTTGATAGATACTTGTTTGAAAGAGGGATTGTTCAACTGAATCATTTGGTTGAGAAAGGTCATGTTAAGCCTGTTAAATATTTTATGAATCTCGGTATGAAAGGTAATAATTTGCTTATGATTATTGATATTTATGATGCGATACCCAGGTTATGGAAGGATGATTCAGGGTTAATAGAATTCCTCGAGGTTGATTTGATAAGCTTTAATACTTATTTCCATATTTCTAGTAAAAAAATACAGTTTGTGGATGTGGGTTCAAGAACAATCTATGATTATTTCATCAAAGCACTGCAACGAACGTATGATTTGCAGGTAAGGGATGGGCAAAATGATTATGATTTTATAGATAAAGAATTAAAAGAAATATTTGTTAGACCAAGAATTACTATACTCATTAGAAAACAACGTGAATTTCAATTTAAATTATTGCATGGAGCCATATACACTAATGAGCATCTTCATAGATTTGGTTTTGTTGGTGATAATTTATGTTCGTTTTGTAAGCAGGAAATAGAAACATACAAACATTTATTTTTATCTTGTGGGAGCGTTCAAAGGTTATGGCAGGCTTTAATACAACTTTTTGAGTTAGATGAAATTAAAGATTTAGAATGGCGAGATATATTTGTTGGGTTGGTAGGTAGTTCATATAGAATAAAAATGTGTAATACTATCATTTTCATGGTGAAGTATGTTACATTTATGTCAAGATCGGGGGGGCGAGTACTAACTTTAGAAAAGATGAAAAAAAGCATTTTTAAGTATAGGGATGAGGAAAAGAAAATAGCAATTAAAATGGGAAAGCTAGGATCACATTTTTTAAAGTGGGAGCAGCTTAAGATTAATTAAGATTTGCTTTCTTCTCCACCGTGAGCTTGTTAAAAGCGTAACTCGATTTTGCGGCCTGGATAACTTATTTAGTATATTTTTCTTAAGTTGAGAATGTTGGCAGACATCCACTGAGTGAGTACTGTGTGTGTGTGTGGAGGGGGGGGGGTGGGTGGGTGGGTGGGTGAGTATGTGTGTGAGTGGGTGAGTATGTTTGTGTGATAGAGGGTGAGTATGTCTGTGTGATGTAGGGGGCAGGGAGGGGGCAGGATTGTTTCAGTAAAATTATCTCCAGATTTGTTTTTTTTGTAATATATAAGTAAATAACATTTACAATTGACATATTATGTTTTGGTACTTATACGTTTACTTTGTTGCTAAGTTATATTATACTGCAAATAAGTTTGTGTTTAATTATGTTTATGTAAAAGCATCAATATTGAACACGTTTATTTTTATTCAATTGTATGTCATGGTTTGTATTACACATCTGGAGAAATAAAACAAAATTGTTTAAAAAAAAAAAAAAAGTGTGTGTGTATTGGGTTTTTACAGACGTGTATCAATCAGATATGATTAATTACGTCTGGGGACCGACTTTTAAATGTCACCATCCGAAAGATGTGACTCAGTTTCGAACCTGCGTCCTCGGCTGAAACAGTTTGTAACTTCCAATGTTAGCTGGATGACAGGCTTACGCCACAACGCCCAATGGCCCAAGATGTATTCCCTCCAGTATCCAAAGTAAAAACCTCTGCCAGTGTTTGATCCCAGGTTTTCTGTAGTCAGCCTTTTGGGTTTTGGCCAGCAACTCAGAGATTCTACACTTTCTTTTAATAGCGTATTGCTATCCTCATATTGTAATCATCATTTTGAGTATTCTTCTTTACTTCTATGACCCTTGATCGTTTAACTCTTGTACCTGGCAAACTCTTGCTCTCTTCTCCATTTGTAAATTCTCTCTCTCTCTCTCTCTCTCTCTCTCTCTACGTGCCATATCCTGAGACGTTGGCAACCATGGAGTGCCACAACTCTCTGTCCCATATTCTATGAAGTAATTCATTCTCCCCAAGATCAATTCCATTTTCAGAAATCCCACTCCTTAAGCTACTCATCCACAGAATCCTCCTTCTACCCCTACTCCTCCTCCCCTCCATTCTTCCAGTCAGTGCAAGATTTTCCAAACCATATCAATTATCATTTGAATTTGCAAGAGGAAGTATTTTACATACATTACGGTACTCGGTAGATAGCCGGTGAGGCTTGGTGATAGATGACACATGTTGATGTTGATAAAAACTTGCTGGGTTCAGTTCCCAAGAGTGGGCATGTAGACCGTTGTTATGGATTTCTTTCTATCTCAATTCAATTCAAACAAATAACACAACAGAACAGAAGTATCAAAATGTGGGAGGACACACAACGGCCTATCAAAGGCTTGTCCCTAAACTATATAAGCAATGAAATATAAATTAAGTGGTATTCATCTTTTCTTTCTCGTCCAGCAAACGGAAGATCAGTGATTTCCTCACAGCTCTGGATGGCTTTGAGAGTGGTCTCAAAATTGTCAAACTCTTCAAGAAATCTGTTCCAGATTTCAAGTAAGTTAGAACTTTTCTTTTAAATTGTTATATGTATATATATATACATTGTATAGGAAATGCATTTGAAAAAGTTGGACCTACTTTTTGTTTTCTTTGCTATTTTTTTATTCTGTTGAACTTGTCTGGTTAGACCTAAGAATGAAAAGGATAAATTGGAAGTCAACAAAAAAATAATTCATACTTTTTTCTTCTTTTTTGGAGCAAGGAGGGCATTGACTCATATAGATAAATACAGAGTTACCAATAATGTCCTTTTAGTTCTGAACAGATGTTTTTGTTTATATTCATTGCACTTGTAACCTACCTATAACATACACATTTATGAATAAAAAATATAAATTGAGTTTGCTCTTTCAGAACCACCAGTGCTTTCTACAAGGATATGTCATAAATATCATTTCTACAAGGATATTTCATACACAATGGAATATAACTTATAAAAAAAGCCACAAATATATATTATATTTCCTACATGTATACTGCAAGATAATGTTATGTGTTTCAAATGCATGTATGTACCTTCTGTAACTTTTGATATTTGTGTCTTCTTTGACCTTTGAACCTAGGTCATCATTACTGAAGGCTTGTATATCTCTGAAGTCCACTGGATGTAGAGGCAAATACCCTGACTATGCTGACACCTTAGAGTTCTTTGAGGTTTGTTCAATCTCTTGTTGCTACTGTATGTCAAATATTTTCTTTTATGTATCTCTTATAAATGCCCATAGTATTGGTCACTTTTATGCTCTGACTGTGTTAAAGTGACTCGGTAATATTGCCTCAGATTCCAAAACAAAAATCCTGGATTTAGTTCATGCTGCAATCATAATTATAAACCTTTAGGCCAGTCAGGAATCCCATGACTTTTACAAGCAGATCGCCTGTCTGATTATCAAAATATTTTTGATTGGATATCGAAATTTCAAAAATCGTTCTCCCAACCGTTTTTTATACCAGTTTTTTATAACGGATTTTATAACACTACAGTCTATTGGGGAAAATGAGTACCGGTATGGTAAAACCGGTCACTCAAAAATACTTTACTTTTTTGAGGCACTTTATAATCATTTTGAAGCGCAATTTTTTGACAACACGTAGGGCCATGCACCTCAGATTTAACATTGTTAAACGATGCCTTTAAAGCAAATGTTATGGATAACAAGCATTGTTGTTAACAAGTTGCCTACTGGAAGGGGGTAGCTCCTGTATCAAGCTAAAGGCAAGAAGAAAATTCAGAAGTCAGTAAGTTAAAGTTGTGTAAGGATGGTATTGGGGAAAGGGTGGCATTGATTGCTATAAATTAACAGACCCAAGCCATGCAGGGCAATTGTTTTGATGGTTCATATTTTCCTCAACATCATGTTTATCTTGAAAACACAATTTTAGGCCTTTTCATATTTGTTGTAAAGAAGAACAGGTAGCGATTCTATCTATATTGGGTGTGGAAGTAATCGTATCGTCATTAAATGAACCATTGGCCAAACATATTCAATTCTATTTTCAATTAATTCATTTCCATATTCAATTATAACTGCAATAACAAACACACATACCAGTTTAAAGTATAGATGAACTTCAAAAGTAATACGCACAACACAAATGTTGCTTTGGAATAGAATGATCAAAATGAAGTGGAACGGGAAGAAACAAAGGCCAAGAAAATGTTTGTTGCAATATTCTTATAAGTTTCAAATGATTATTATTGGTACGAGTGTTTCTTTCTTAAGCCTGTTTGTTCTAATTTGGCTAGGAGGGATTAGACCACCCAGGGTTGGTCACTGACAGGTGGCTATCTCATCAACTCGGCTCTCAATTAACATAAGAAAAAGAGGATCATGGAGGACCAATGGTCACCTATTAGGCATTGTTTTCTATATAGAGGGAGCAGGTAGCTAAAAGTAGTACAGTTGGGCTTTAAATTGCAAATATTGTTTTATTTGTTATTTCAGACTGCATTTGATCAGAAGAAAGCCAAGGAAAAAGGAGCCATCATCCCATGCAAGGGTGTCATTCCAGAGTATGATAACGCCATCTCTGACATCGCTGATACCAAAGACAGACTACAGGAATACCTGGACAAACAGAAGAAAAGACTTGGCTGTAGGGTAAGTAACAAGTCCTGTTTACAATAATAATAATAAAAACGGTGCTTATAAAGCGCTTACCACTAAAGTTTCCAAGCGCTATACACCCGATGCAGCGAACTGCCTAATAAATAAAATATGGATCACCCATGCAAGGGTGTCATCCCAGAGTATGACAATGCCATCTATGATATGGCCGATACTAAAGACAGACATTTAATGGGTGTGATCCCAGAGTAAGATTACACCATCTGTTACATGGCCGATACATATGACACACTTTAGGACTACTTGGAAAAAACACAGAAGACAGTATTAATGCCTCAGTCACACCTTTGCTTATTCGGCTTGCGTATTGCTACGTACTTATGGCAAGCCGTTTTAACATTTATTGTATCCCCCGGCAGTATGCTGGTGGGGTACTTTGGATTCAGCAGCGTTACGCCGCCGCCGCGTCATATTCTTGTGTGCGCTCTCACTGCCACATTTCTTGATGGATTTCTTTCAAATTTTGTATGGAGGTGTATCCTGGTATAATCTACATACCTATAACTTTTGGTGATGCTGCCCCCAGTGTTCCGTCTTCTATAGGGTACAAGGCCATATTTCTGTGGATGGTTTGTGTGCGCTCTATAGGCCACATTTTTAAAGGGATTTTGTTCAAATTTTGAACGAAGGTGTATCTTGGTATAGTCTACAAGCCTATAGATTTTAGTGATGCTGCCTCAAATGTTCCGTCTTTTATAGGGTCAAGGGTCATATTTTGATAGATGTCTTGTGTGCACTCTAGTGTGCGCTCTAACTGCCACATTTCTTGACGGATTTCTTTCAAATTTTCTATAAATATGCATCATAATCTGATCTACACACCTATTGTTTTGGTGATGCTGCTCCTAGTCTTGACAATAGTCTGAGCCACTTGCGGCAATCTCTACGTCATCCTTTTGTTTCACAAAGAGGAGAGGGAATCTTTGTCCCTCCTTCCACATAAGGATAACACAAAATCGCTGCCACTGCCGGGGGATACATTCGCATTGCGCGGCAATAGAGATTGCGATATTTCTAGTTCCTATTTCTTGATATCAAGGAATGATATTCTGTTGTAAACTGTAAAGCAATGGTAATTCTTGATATCAAGACGTTGATTTCTTGATATCAAGAATTCAAAGGTGTGACTGAGGCATAAGCTGCAGGTATGTATTAAAGATAAACTTGAGTTCTGGTAAAAAAAAAGAAAATGAATTCTCACAGAAGCTAACGAAACTTACACTGAATGTTTAAGATTACAAATAAATGTCATGTGCCAAGCAATTTTGGAAGAAAATGTATACTAGCTGAGTAATGAGCATAGAAAGATAAGGAAATCAGGGTAGTACTAGCCCCGACACCATGTGTGTTGTCCCATATACATCTTTCTGTGTAAGTGATTGTTACTTTACCAAGACTCTGCCAAATTAATGATGATTTTAAAGACCCCAGAACCTTGCATTACACACCATTACTTACATGCCATATGATCAACTTTTCTGATCCATTCCACACCTTTTCTTTCACAATGCAATCGCATTACCAGAACTCAAGTTTATCTTTAAGCCGTGTACGCAAAAGTCTTGGTGGACCACCTAAAAAGAGTGCGATGGCGCAATTAAAAAACAATTATAAGGGTGTCATTCCAGAGAATGATTATGCCATCTCTGATATGGCTGACACCACGATCAGACTAGAATAGTACTGAGAGATGCAGAAGAGACTAGGTTGCAGGGTAAGTATTAGGTCCTGTTTACATCCGATGCAGCGAACTGCCTAATAAATAAAATGTGATCGCACAATTAAAGCGATTGTAAGAGAGTGATACCAGAGTATGATAAAGCAATCAGTGGTATGGCCGATATGTATTCAACTCTGCTTTGTATTAACAAATACACAGGATCTTCTGTATTAGAATGTCTTTGTATATTGCAAGGTTTGAAAACGAAATCTTGAGTAGCTCAATCACCCTCATGCACCACGTTTTTTCATTTTGAAGAACATCGTCTACTGGGGTACCGCCAAGAACCGGTTCCAGATGGAGATTCCGGAATCTGCCCTCTCTCGTCACATCCCTGAAGAGTACGAGCTCACATCCTCCAAGAAGGGCTTCAAACGCTACTGGTCTCCCACGATCCAGAATCTGCTGGCCGATACGATGAATGCGGAGGATAGGCGTGATGCTGCCCTCAAGGACTCCATGAGGAGAGTCTTCCATAAGTTTGATGAGCAGTAAGTTGATGTAACTTTGTCGTATCAGTAGATTCATGTAAACCTATGAAACTGAGACACGCCTTTTGGTGACATTTCACCAAAAGATTTGTAATTTGAATTTCCATCAAGTAGACCATACATTGCGAGGTCATGTGACATCTCGGTATCTTATGTCTAGCCAAAAAATTAACCGAAAAGTACATTTAGCTTTTCCTAACTTGCTTTTAAACACTGCTAGTTTGTCTGTAAGGCCTTTTTCTAGATCGTGCTCATGTTGAAGAAAGCTGATAAACAAATTAAAATTTTAAAGGAGGGGAAACTGAACTTGAAATTGAGACCTTTTTACAAACACGCTGTATGCCTTTCTGCGAAATAAGGTTACACTTTTTCTAATTAGACACCAAGCTATGTATCTAGGAACTTGATTTTCCCATGCCCAGAAGGTGTACAGTGATTCAAAAATTTGCTCCTGTCTGGTAATCGGGTTTGAGATTTCGGGTTAGGGTCATTGCTGAAAACTATGTTGTGAAGCGGATTAACGTGTCTCGGTTTCTTGATCTTATGCTCTTCATCCTTCTGCCCATATTAGCTACAAGTCATGGGATGCTGCCATCCAGTGCCTGTCTGTTCTAGATGTCTTAATGTGCCTTGCTGAGTACAGCCAGAGTGGAGAGGGCAACATGTGTAGGCCAGACATAGTCCTTCCCTCTGAGAATGAACAGGTAAAACACCCCTTCTCTTGTAATGACGTCTCCCCTTCCATTACATAGAGTATGTATGGCAGATTCATAAGTCTACCTGCAGTATTTGCTAAAATAGGGATTTGCACACACTTCTGAAGTTGAGTTTATTTTAACATCTTTTATCTCATATTGAAATGCATGTTTAGATCAGTTATTGTTCTTCCCTCTGAGGATGAGCAGGTAAATCACCCCTTCTCTTACAATGAAGTCTCCCCATCCTGTACATAGCAGATACAAAGTCTTGCTGCACTGTTTGACTACATAGTAGGGGTGGCAACATGTGTAGACTAGACATTCTCTTAGAATAAGAAAGTAAAACACCCCTTCTTTTATAATGAACCCTACCCTCAACTATCTGCATAATAGGGATACACATGTAGTGGACACTAAATGTGAAAAATTTATCAGAAGTTTGATCTATTATGTTAATATCAGAATGCTAGAGCAGTCTTTTCCTGAAGACCATATTACTTTGTACTTTGATGTGTATTAAAATTAAAACCAACAATTGATAGCAAACATGTGCATTGGAGTTTAAATCCACCTTGATTATTTATATTTACATTGATATTTTTCTTTGCAGCCCTACATCGCTATCGTAGAGGGACGTCATCCTTGTATTGCTCATACCTTTGCCGGGGGAGACTACATCCCAAATGATACATTCATCGGTATCGTAAATGTAAGAATACCTACTTGAGATGAGTCACTAGAAAAGTGTTGTACAATGGCATCTTGCCAGTATACTTTGGTCACAAACCTTTTATTCAGAAAGACCAGGGGAGTGTCTCACAAAGATCCTAAGTCAAACTTAACTCTAAGTTGGACTTAAAAATTATGGAGACCCATCTGTAGCCTTATAAAAAAATATATTCAAAGGTGAAATTTCAAATATTTTGGACTTTTTAGTAATTCCACATCAAGAACATGAAATCTCCTTGATAATAGAAAATATAAATATTTAATCAACATTTTCTGTCTTTTAAAATAATTTGTAAAAAATATTTTCATAGGTGCTAACGGTTCTTCATAATTGTTGAAGGTAAAGATCAGTTTTGGAAACGCCCCCCTCTCAAAAAATTAAAAATGGAAGCTCTTATTACCAATCCTGTGAAAGAATATGTTTTGACTAAATACACGATGATACAAATAAATAAGGTGTGATTGATATCAACCCTTCGTAAGACAGGGCCCAGGTTGAAAATAATTTCTTAAAGTTTTTTAGCACCATATGGCAGCTTGGCTAAAATCAGGTTAATAGTGCAACTTTGGAGGGATCTTGAGCATCCAACATGGTAGATACATGCACTTATGTTTTATGTATATACCTTGTAACCATGTGAACAAAGAATTTCCATTTATGTGGACAATAAAACAAATCAAATCTAATCAATCAATATAAATACATGTATTATTCTTCTTCCAGGATAATGAGATGGATGAAGGAGAAGAAAACCATGGCAACAGCAGCTGCATCCTGGTGACGGGTCCCAACATGGGAGGCAAGTCCACACTGATGAGACAGGCCGGTCTGATCATCGTCATGGCACAGCTGGGATGCTACGTCCCTGCAGAGGGCTGCAGACTCACACCGGTCGACCGGGTCTTCACGAGGCTCGGGGCGAGGGATAACATACTCTCAGGTGTGTTGATGTAAAACATTCACAACTTCCTGGTTGTTGGTCTGATTCCATTCAAACTTTTACCATGTTGCCTCTCCAATTGTTCGCTCACAGCAGCCTGCAGGTTGTATTTCCCTTAAAGGGATTGGGCATCTTTATCTCAGATTCTGAAACAAAATCCTGGATTAATCTCATGCTGTAATGATAATTAGAAACCTTTGGGTCAATCAGGAACCCCATGAATTTTACAAGCCGATCGCCTGATTATCAAGATATTTATGATAGGAAATCGAAATTTCAAAAACCGTTTTCCTCACGTTTTTTATTAATTATAACACTACAGTCTATTGAGGAAAATGAGTAAGGTATGGTAAAACCGGTCACTCAAAGATTTTTACTTTTTTGAGGCACTTCATGATCATTTTGAAGCGGATTTTTGTAACGGCACCATATTACTCCATATCACAGACACTGGTAACATGTAGGGTCGTGCATCTCAGATTTAACATTGTTAAACGATGCCTTTAAAAGTTATATTATTATGTCCCCTTTCTCAGGTGAGAGCACATTCTTCGTCGAGCTCAGCGAGACGGCAAGCATCCTCAAACACGCCTCCAAGCACTCCCTCGTTCTGGTGGACGAGCTCGGGCGGGGCACGGCAACCTACGACGGCACCGCCATAGCAACGGCAGTCGTGAAGGAGCTGTCAGAGGTGGTCGGATGCAGGACGCTCTTCTCAACCCACTACCACTCCCTGGTGGAGGAATTCTCACATGACCCTAACATCAGGCTGGGTCACATGGTAGGTCATGTGATTAATGATCACCTGATATTTTCTTTGCTGATCATCTCAATATAGATATGGAGATCTGTCTGAATTACCCTAATTTTTTTTAAAGAACCTTGTAAAAAGGATTGAGAGGATTTTGAAGTTCATTTATGATATATCGCAATGTTAACTGTGAAGAAGATCAGTATTTTGTACTGTCCGACAAACCGTAATCCATAAGATTTGGTAATGAAATAGAGGCCAAATGAGCTTGCAAATGAGTTTGCAATATAACCCTTAGCACTTGGTTTTGTTTTTAGTCAGACAGTCATGCTCATCTGTCTGAATTGTTTCTTATCTCTTCTTCCTGTGTGTCTTTTATGATTGTATTAGTTTGTTTGGGAAAACCTGTATCAATTTGTTTGTGTGACAGACTTGTACATTTTCATTTGTTTTGTCTTGTACATACAATTGTATGTACAGTCAAACCTGCTTTAATGACCACCCAACTATAAAGACTGCATTTTTTTTTTCTCTTCAAAATAAATTCACATTGAAGCCTGTATATATTGACAACCTGCCTATAAAGACTAATTTCCTTGTCTCCCTTGAGTGGCCTTTATGTACAGGTTTCACTGTATTTTCCTTTCCGATTCCTTGTTTTTCTCTTCAGCAACTTATTGGTTTGTTTGTGTGATGTTTAGTCTGCCTGATGTCGTAGCATCTATGCTTATCTTTTTGTGATTTGTACCTCTCATCATTGTGTCCTTCATTTGTCGTGATAGGCTTGTATGGTTGAGAACGAGAATGAAGAAGACCCTTCGCAAGAAACCATCACATTCCTCTACAAGTTTGTGGGTGGGGCTTGTCCCAAGAGCTACGGTTTCAACGCCGCCAGATTAGCCGATATACCAGACGAGGTGGGTCTTTCAAAGTAGCCACAAAGTACCATAAATAGCAGAGGAAAATATCGAGAAACAAAATCGAACATTTCTTTGTAGCCCAAATTTATTGAACAAATCTTATCAGTTCATTAGGAAAGTTGTTTTGATAATCATTATTTCTTGGCAAAGAGTACAGTCAACTGAATTACGGTAATTTGGAAATGTTATTGAACTTCATTGATATTTCAAGATTATTTCAAAACTTACCAATATTTTTTTTAGGGGTTTTTAAATTATTATTACTTTAAATTCAATTATTTTTTTCCAGCAAAGAAATCTCATTATTAATAATAAAACTTGATATAACATGTAATATCAAGTGAAGATATGAGGTCATCTTATATTGGGATATTAAAATATTTTATGGTCTGCTTCCAATCAAATTTTGCTTGGAAGGGAGTTATCTTGAGTCGTTCCATAGTCTTCATTATAACCAGGTTCCTTTGTTTTTTAGCTTTAATTTTAGCTTTAATAAAATTGGAAATCTAAATTATTAAATTCTCTTTGTAGAACATTAGCATGCTTTAAAAACAAATTAAAATACAAATTTAGTCTGTTCAATCAATATGCTTATTCTTTTCCCCATCTTAGATCATCCTCGTTGCTCGTCAAAAAGCCAAGCACTTTGAAGAATCGGCCGAGAGAATGAAATTTTTCCGGTCTGTCCACAAGATGTGTGGAGCATCGTCCGGGCTGGATGTCTGCAAGCTGAAGCAGATCGTGGCAAGAGTGTAAGATGCAAGTCTGGGATCTGTACAGATCCTCTAAGGCTTTAAAGCCCCACTGCACAATTCATAGCTATTTGCTCCCTCTATATAGCTAACAATGCCCAATTGGTGACCATTGGTCCCCCATAATCTCCTTTTTCTTATGTTAATTGGGAGCTGATTTGATGAGATAACCACCTGTCAGTGACCTTGCAGGGAGGCCTAATCCCCCTGGCCAAACTAGTGCAGACGGGCTTTAAGGGACAATGTTGACCCCATTGGAGATGATTACAACCTTTTGCCTAAAAATGTGGGTTTATACTTGACTCAAAGAATTAAATTGCAAGTTTAAAGAATATCGACCGTGATTGTTTGAAAATTAAAACCTTTCTCATATCAGATAATGTGGGTTTAAACGCAACTCCTAGGATTAAATGCGAGGAGATAAAAAATTGACAGTAATTAGTTGAAAATCAAATTGACTTCATATTTGTTGTTGTTAGTGTTGATGAGTTTAATCAAAATCTGTTATGCTAGAAACACCTGGGCCCAGTCTTATGAAGAGTTAATATTAATCGCAACTTTGTTCATTAGAAATAGGGGACTGCAAATTTGAGTTTGATTAGAGGACTTGCGATTGATTTGGATCAATTGCAACTCTTTATAAGACGGGAGCTTGGTCTCACTGGTTGTTTCTACTGTTCTCTAGCCCTTTATATATTACAAGGTGTCATTCAAAACAAGGTAATTTCCTTGTTCTATTAAAATGAGTTGGTTGTAACAAGGTTCTGTATGTTGGATACGTAGGATTACATTGCATCAGCCCTCGATATAAATAAAGCAAAGTGAAGAGAGTTCTGTTTTGTTTTGTCTGAGAAATTGATTATTTAATAACAATTCCTCTCTTTAATTTGTGATGACTATCATTAAAGTGTATAGTTTTATACAGTACTATGTTGTATTTTTTTATTTTCCCACAAAATTTTGATAATAACTAAGACATTTTCTACGTATTTGCTACTTATTTTCAGAGAACTTTCTTTTTTCAAATGGTTGAAAAAAATAAGTTTGGTAATTTTTGAAAAGAAACTGTTTGCTCAATGATGACAAATATTTTTCTGTTCTCATATCATTTAATGTCAGTTTGCAAACTACCGTCCCATAAAGTGCCAAATTTACTCTGTGTTTGATACAAAATGGTGCTCATTCTGCAGTGTAAATATTACCAATAAATGATAAAGCCTGGAACAAGTTGGGATGCAACCCATTGTGAAATCCATGTTGGAATGTAACTTGTCTTACCCCTAACAGGTTATGGGGCCCCAGATATTTGCCAAAGGGGACAACAACAGATTTTTCACTGCCAAATAAGCTGCTGTTCCCCATTGTAAATATATTTCTGTAATAGCACAACATTGATAACTAGTAGTCAAAACATTTCTTCAAGTATAAATAGTTACTAATGTGGTAATGGTACTATTAACTAGACTAATATTGTTCATTGTTTTCTACTTTATTAAAGTATGTGTCCTATGAAAGGAACAATCAGTGTATAAAGGTACATGGTGCTAATTCTGCATTTGAAATGTAAAATGTTGCTAATACTGCATTAATTATAAAAGTAGATGATTGATAAAGGTGTGTTTTGCAACTTTAAACAAAATAGTTTTGAAGGATTATCAGAATTTCAAGATAACATCAAGTGTATGATTTACAGCTCAGCTTCAAGAAACAATCACAAATTTGCTCCTGGCTTTATGTACTCAGAGATATACAAGAAACCTTGTATTGCAATTAGAATAATTAGTTGTAGAATTATTAGGGCTCGGTATAGTGTTGGGTCTAGGGTCAAAGTTCAGAATTTGAGAGTGTCAGAAAGCGACTGCAGAGCAGCCGTCACTGGTACATACCATTTGTACAGAGCCAGAAGGGCATTAACTCGCAGAGTAATGCCTTCTGGCTCCGAACAGTTGAATCGTCTTGTTTGGAGCCAGGGCCGTTTCATAAGCCTTGTTATCAATAACAAATTGTAATAACCGTTAAAAGCTACTGAAATTACAACATGTTACTTGCCTAGAGCAAATTTGGCATGGAATAGTACAGTAATAATGACTGCTTTGAGAGATATAGTTGTTTTTATACGCTCAAGGGGAGGTTACAATCATGCCATTGCCCGAGGCCTGCCGAAGGCAATAGCAAGATTGAACTATTTTCCCAGTAACTGGAATTTTGCTTGGATTTTACTTATTTACTCTAGAACTATTACATAGGTTTGGCATTTTTCGTTTATTTACGGGAATGGCTAAAACAAGGACTGCAATTTTGACCAATCAGATGGCTGGATTTCTTAAGTGAGGTATATAATGATGTCTTCACAACCCTCAACCCTTGAGGTTGAAGTTTACAGCTTATTTTGAAACGGGTGGGAATGTCTGGAGTAATTGTAGATATCAGCAATGGTATTTCCTGCCGTGTCTATTTCAACTTTCCATCCTTTTGTTCTAGGGAGTAAATTCAGGCTCCAAGAGAATTCCTCATCTGTTCATTTCTAGCAATTATCATTCTTTGATGTACCTTACAGGACATGAAATAAACAATTATGGTGTAAACAAGTTACAAGGTAACACAACGACAACGGTTTGTATCAATGTATCATTTTTTTCATATTGGTTGTAGCCAACTACTCGAGTTACATTCCACAATCTTGCATTGAATTGAATTTTGTTGATATGTCAATTTCCAATCGTTGGACATAAATGCATTTTCTTCTTAAGGCCATTTATTACATTTTCTATTTGCTGAAGTTGTCATTGTTTTGTATTCTATCCATGTGAATTGTGACGGTATAATTTAGAATAGAATTACAATCTAAGATCAAAGAGATAAGATGGAGAAATAAGCATGCCCTTCAGAATTGATACCCAGTGGACATGTTGGTCTTTGCTCATCATTTAATGAATGTGTATTATGTTATCCAACAGTATTTGTAATAAAAAACTGCTCTTTTGTAAAAGATTTTGTTACAGTGACCATTTTATATTTAGATTCAAATTTTATATTCCTCTCTTGACTTTCCATCTTTTTGGAATGAATGAAGATGGAATAGTTGATTATACAAATAGAAAATAAAGAGTGACTTTGGAAGAATGAACTGATGAGAATAGATGGTAGAATGGAGCGAAAGGAGAGTGATAGAAGAATAAAGATGTGTTAGAAGATGGATTTTAAGGGTGAAAGGGATGAACATATGATCGATTATTGTTTTACCCGACTGCCATTAGAAACAACCAAGGGACCGACTGCTTTAAGTCCTCTCCAAGGGACTTTGAGAGGATCAATGCCTTACCAACGGGCACAAAAACATTTACTTGGTAATGAACCCGGGACCTCCCGGTTACAAGACCAGTGTTCTACCACTGAGCCATCGAGCCTCCTCATATCACAGGGACACGTCAAAAGTAAAAAGGCCAGAAACCTTTGCATTGCAAGGATGCAATTTTAACAAATATTCGAAAAAAGTTTCTGATTTTATTCAAAGTAGGGTATCAAAGAATTAAAAGGATAAATAGATCAACACAACTTTTCAGAGAGAGGAATGAGAGATTGAAATTTGTATCAGAGCACTAAAAAGCTGAACGGGTGGGTCATGTTATAAGCCTTCCAATGCTAATAATGCATGAATCCAACACGTGTGTGTGTGTGTGTTTGGAAAGGATGTAAAAAAAGGGAATTGGAGGCAGAAAAGGGTCATGGCTGTTTCTGAATTGAAAGTTGATTTGCTATAAGAATTCTGATAGCCCCTTTCACATTCTTTTTTTTTAAAATCAGTATTTTCTCGCAATGTTACTTGGTTCCTCGATAATAGATAACATGTATTGTATTCTTCAATACCGTACCACATCTAAAATAATTGGTCAAATAATCAGCTTTGTTTTTCTGTGCTTTTTTTTTTATTCATTCACGTGACAACTTCCACAACTACATACATGTACATAACTTTTTTAGTATTAATTTTAAAATAATGTCAGTGTTTTTACCATAATAAGCAATTTTGCACTTTTTTTATACACTGTACTGCAATTTTTTTCTTTTCAGTAGTAAACAAAGACCGAATGTCAAAAGGCACAAAAGCAATATTAATACTAATATTACATATTCCTATAGTCGTGATATCCACCACGCAATGACAATGTGCTCATCAAGGCTCTCTATTGTTACCCTGCTCTAGCCTGATTTAATCCTATTTTGAGATCAGGGCCCCATAAAACTTGTAATCGATAATAGTTGTCACGTTTCTGTAATGAATTTGCCAACAGCCAATCAAATGCAACGATTTCAATAGCTTATAACAGCTTTTGCATTTTGAAAGTGATAACAAGTTTTTATGAAACGTGCTACAGATTTGACATACATACTTATACTGATCTATATTTTGCCAGCAGAACAGCAGCTAAGACACTTTTAACCAACATTTGTTTTTATCATGAAGTGATATATATTTATAAGTGGTTTACCAACTTCAATATCTACTGGTATTTATATTCCTAAAAATTGCGCTTAAATTTGCACATATCTTGCCGTTTGAGTGTCCATTAGTAAATGCTCGTCAATAAAATATTAAGTGAAAATAACAATAAATGCTGTTAAACCTGAACAATAAAATTGTTGGTGTTCTGTCAATAAAGCGTTAAGGACACATTATTTCATGGTGTAACTGATATCGCATCGAAGGACTAAAATTCACGGCACTCAGAGATAATTATTGAGGTTTGTCCTACAAAAATCAGTGGCCGCGCGAGCGATTTCAACGAGACAAAAGTTGTCAAGGGATGCTCATTAGCTTAAATCGTCGAGCTTTGACCTACAACAATGATTTCCAATGCCTTTGAAACACAAACAACAGAGGAACAATTTTGGAACAATTTGTACATATCATTATCGTTATCAGTGCCTCTTAGGCAGCACTAAACTACCAATGAACGGTTCAAATATGATTTTCCCTAAGAAGATCTCTTCCAAAGTGTTACTGTGATATATTAAGTCACCCACATAGGATTGTATGTGAACAGAAAAGTGGTAACACCAATCAAAATCACAAGAACACCATAAATTGTACAACTATATAAATATAGATGTGACATACCAGTAAAATAATATAGATAACATATCAATATCAAGGTAGAACTAAGTTTTTGACAGATACTAGTATAGCTTTTAATCATGCCCTTTTGCCCATGCAAAACTATATCTAGCTAACTTCTCCAGGATTGTATTAAATTTCCATGCAGAGTATCTGGATATGAGTGTTTAATGCAAATACACTGTATTGTACAATCAGAGACTGCTGTAGTGATGATTATAGAGTGCTTGATAAAATCTTGGCTTGAGGTGTACTTGTCATTCAATTATTTAATATCAAATCACTGGTTTAAGAAGATGAAACCATTTTCAATATAACTTTCAAACCTTTACTGCTCATTGAAATAATCTAGTGCATATATAATACATTGTATAAGATTTAGTCGTCATTTAAAATTAAATCATGATTAAAAAGAAAGCATATCTTGTGAGATTTCGAGAGGAAAGATGAAAACCGTAGTAGGTTTCATCATTCTTCCATGAAACAAATTTTCTGAAAAATATCTTTCAAAACACATTTATACGATCATTCTACGTAAGCTAAAAATAAGATTCAGTCACGACGTTTAGGACCATATTCTTAAAAGTATCAGTGTTACCTTTGAAGTCTCTACAATCTCATACTATACTACTTCGTTTTCGCCTCCTAATACCTTTTAAATCCAGACCTTCTATATTGTGTTACTCAGTACGGGAGCCTATTCACAAAACAGCTATGCTTTTTATTTAGGCTCCCCACATTTTACATTGTTCTAACTAGGCGATTATATATACATCATATTGCTCCGGTTGTCTCATTTTCGCTCGCCGGACGTATATAGCAGACGGCAATCGGCGGATTAGACGACACTTGGTAGTGAATTTGTATGTGAGATTGCTTTGCTAATTATAAAATACAATTAAGAACTTTTTCCATATCTTTACACTGTCATTGATATCTGATAATTAAACAGTTATTAAAATAAACCTACTAAACTACATAATACAATGAAATACTTGACTTAAAGTAGGGGAGTTTGATGTGGTGCACAATTACACCCCTCTGTAAATAATCGAATAGTCCATGGCGATCATGAATATTCATGTTTTTGCTTACCTCGGCAAAATGCTTGCCTATACTAAATGGAAAAATTACGGTGGGGTTCGCTGAAATGGACATAATGAACCGATCAGAACTGATCTATGATAATTCATGCTTGTTATCCTTCGTGTGTTTGACCTATAATCTTACAATCGCTTGGCAAATTGCGTCCAAAGTTCGACTTGTTTCACATGTGTTATATAGGCAATGGCGAGCTAGCGACCTATTTTGATCAAATTACAGTGGGTGAACTTTCAAAAGTCAATGAGACATGAGGGTTCCAATGAAAGAGCTAGTGTCAACGTACGCCGGAGTGGATGTGCTTTTCGTTTAAACAAAAAATAATTTAAAAAAAAAAAAAATTAAACGATTTTTGGGGTAAAAAACAGTAGGCTAACATGTAAGGCTGCTGGACTCTGACGATAGGGGGCGTTGTCCAATGAGACTATTCGCAGCCATATGATTTCGAAATTTCCTACTTATTTTCCGTACATTATATTTGATTTGAAATCTTTAATTATTTTGTTTTTCTTGTGTGAAATCTACTTAATATTAATCTATTAATAATATACGCCTATATAATAAAAAAAAAAATTAAAAAAGAAGAATATGAACTGTTTTTCTATGTAAAATGTGGACCAAATAAAACTTCAAACTTCAACTTCAAGATAGGCGAATTGTCATATCAAACTGTACTGTACATAATATTATTACTGGGCCTGGCTTGATGCGTATATGTATCTTTTCCTGTACTTAGCCTACACTTGCGCAGCCAGATTTGCACTGACAGTAGCCAATGATTCGTCCCATTTTTAATTTGCTATGAAAATTAACATACTTTCACTATAAAACATAAAGATAACATAGTTTTCAGAATACCACTCCAGAGATCAGGGCCCCGTCTTACAAAGAGTTACGATCGATCCAAATCAATCGTAAGTCCTCCAATCAATCGCAAGTTTGCAGTCTCCTATCTCTTATGTACATAGTTACGATTGATATCAATCGCAAATAACTTACGATTGATATCAACTCTTTGTAAGACGGGGCCCAGTTCTTGATATTGTTAGTCACTATGGGACATCACTTCCTCCCCTTCAATCCACCCCTCCTTTTCTTGCTTCTTTGAGCTCTCTCCATTATCTTCCTTCTGCCGTTAATCGATCACCATATCAACCCTCGGATCATCGTCATCATCCCTTCTGTTTTGGCGAACAGACCGACTGTTGTCATCGGTTCCGAGGGTGCTTTCCGTGAAGTTGGTGGATCTCCTCGAAGATGGCTCGTCGGCAACGCAGACTAGAGCCTTGCAGAGGTTCCACACCCGCTGGTTGGCGGTGAAAGCAAGAAAGATGTACACACCTGCTCAAGAAAGAACATGGAAAGTAAAGTAGGGTCACATTGTCATCCAATGCTTTCATGCACACAAATCAGTAATACAGTAAACCATGCTTGTAGAGAGACCATCATTGGAACATGTAATGAACCTGTTCGTAAATACCACTTTTCTTGTGTCCCTTGGGTGGTTATACACATGCTTCACAGGCCCGTAGTCACGGGGGGGGGGGGGGGGCATGGGGAGCACGTGCCCCCCCCCCCCCAAAAAAAAAAATAAAAAATAAAAAATAAATAAATAAATAAATAAAAAATAAATAAATAAATAAATATAAATAAATAAATAAATAAATAAATAAATAAATAAAAAATAATTTTTTTAGACCCTTCCCCAGGACGTCGATCAATTACATGTATTTGCCCCCCCCCCCCAAACATCAAACTCAGGCTACTATTTCTGTACCGAGTTCGGATGCATGAGATGCCTAAAATGTCATTCTTTTATCAAAGCATTCATAAGTAACAGCAAAATCAATCCATCTCATTATTTTGCTCTATAAGATTTAAATAAAAGTACAGTCATTGTGGCCACCTCTCTGTAAAGGTCACCCATCTATAATTATGCAATGGCCACTTGTTCTGTTCTCTTCAGTGATCTTTATAAAAATGTTTGATTGTGGGACATTACTCTGACCAGGGGGGGGGGGGGGGGGGCGTTTCACAAAACTTGTCATCAGTGACAAATAGTTTTTTTTATAAGCTACTGAAATCCTCGCTTCTGATTGGTTATCAGCAGATTTGTCACTGATTTTTTTTTAAGAAGGCTTTGTGAAACGGGTCCCAGGTATGTCTAACCTCCCTGTTTTAAGGTTGTGATTGCATCTCCTCTCCATGCTTTACCACTGTTTGAACAAAATCATTTCTCTTTAGAGACTAATAAAAAAAGTAAAAATGGATGGTATAACAACCAAATTTAAGGAGATTTGTATCAAATAATCATATAATTTACACAGGTGACGAATGCACCAAGAGGCCTTCCTATCGGCCGCATGGCGAATTGCTCGCCAGAGCATGTGTTGTAGAACCGCTAGCTTACCTTGGAGTCCATTGAGCACAATGAAGAGATACCAGAGGGCGCTAATCCCACAGAAAGGGATAATGAAAGCCGTAGCCCACGTAAACCCCATCAGCGTCGACACCTGGAAGTCAAACAAGTCGGACAGGTCATAGTCTAATTAGTTTATGAGCTTATAATCTAGATTCATAAGCAGAATGCTTGATGACATAAAACTGTGAATTGCTCTAATCATTAAAAACTGACATTTTGCGGTGTGAAGGTTTGTAAGTTCAATACAAATGTTCATTGCCTTTCGTTAAGTTTTTTCTTGATAAATGTACATCATTCGCTATTCACAAGGAGGCTGTATGACCTTTTTTTTTATTGTCAATGGCAGTATACAGTCTTCTAACTGGTAGCTGATAAATGCTTCCTTCACGTAAAATAGATATTGCCTCCCTCATACTAATCTTAGCTCATTTTTAAAGAACTGATATTGCTTTAATTGCAAAGTGCTAGTTCTGAGCATAGCTGTTGTTTAGAGTAAATATGTCTGTCAAATACTTTGGATAGAATACAATGTACGTTGTACCTTGATATAAATCTTCAGCAGGTCAAATCTCTCCTGGAAACTCGGACGCATGTTCTTCCTCCCCACCTTCTTAGCGTTCTGATGTCCCTTCCAGATGCCAATAGCAGTGTAGGAGAAGAAAATGACATTGATTGCAAGCAGTACAGCCATTGGGACACCAAATGCCAGAAGCCTCATCAAATCATCACCAACCCAGCAAAGGTCACCATAAGTGTAATCCAGAACCTGCGAATCAGTGATGACATCAATGCAGACACAAGGAATGACCACACACAGAGACACACCTGGGACATACACCAGGTATCTGACGAGCGACTTCAAGCTCGTCTGCGCAAACGTGAAACTCTGGTTATAACCGAACGTGTGGTGTAAATCAAACGCAAGTGAGTTGGTTATGGCAAATACAGCTATCCAGCAGAAATGGGTGGTCGCAGAGACGACTTTACAGAGCTTGGGAATAGGGGATGCATATGAACCGACGACTGTCAGGAGCTGAGCCAGGAACAGGAAAATGCAAAACATAAACAAGAGTTTGTTGTTGGTCAATTTGCGAAGAGATGGAAACATGATGAATGTGGAGAGTGTTACTGTTAGGGAAATGAGGGAGAGAGTCACGCACACGGTACTGAGAATGCTCTGTGTGTCTGAGTACAGCAGAAATTCTTCAGGTGTAGTCACGTTTAGAATTCCGCTCCTCTCTGATAAAAACGAACACACTAGAACGTTGCCTGTGTCACCTATCCTGAATTCAGATTCAGTGAAGTTCCTACTGGACTCTAAGTGGACCAGGATTGTATCATCCCCAATGTGGACCTGATGGAACTCAGAAGCATTCATGGTGATTATTGGACAGGGAAGATTCCCTAATCTGGGATCAGTGGCATTTCCTGTTGGGTCAGAACAAATCTGAACTATCTCTTGTAGAGAAATTGTACCGTTTTCTTGTGACCTTTGAAACTCTGCTGTTCTTCTCACTTCTACAGATTTGTATCTTTGTGTTGCATGAAATCCCCTGAATGTCAGATATGTTGTCTGATCAATACTGACCATAGAGACATCCTTTCCATAGTCCACATTGGTCCATCCATATTGGCAAGGCCTATCCTCATCACTGCACAACACTTTGAACTGCAAAACTGATGCTCCACATGTATGAACTCTTGAGGAACTGGTAACCATCTTGCTCATCTTGGAATACGACATCTTGACATGGATTTCAACTTTCAATGTCTCATTCACATCTTGTGCGATGCACTGATCCACATCAGGGTTGGCACGGACTAGAAAAACATCATCCAAAGACAGTTCAAGGATATCTGCAAGGCACTTCATCATACCTTGCGCTTCCTGAAAGGAAACGCATTCTCTGTTTTTGATGTTGAAACCACTCAATTCAATGCCAACACGGTTCCCAACACACCTGACATTCCAGGTACACTCACCATCTTGAAGAGACAGACCAGTCGCACATGATAGAGAACGACAGATGCCAGCCAGGCTGTCAAAGACAGCTCCTACTTGACATTCCACAGTTTCCTGCTTTACAACGTCTCGATTAGCTTTGAACTGAATACCATTATTCCCTTTGAAGTCTACCAGGACCGTGAGTGGGAAACCTGCAGGTGGCACAGCATCTCCCACTTCTACACTTATACAAGGTATGAACTCTGAATAGCTAAGATCTGGAAGATTACATGCGACACAGTATCCATTAGCAAAAACTGATTGTGTTTCAGGAGGCTGCAGAGGTGCTATGAACCCTGCACAAGCTTCAGCAATACCATTATCTACAAAGTCTTCTGGACACTTGCTTATCACGTCGACAGCGCACGGTCGATACGCAGGGGTACGGGAAATTTTATTGGCATCATCAATTGTATGATTGCACATTCCACTTCTGATTCTGTCAAGCATTTCATCAATATCCAATGGCAGGATCTTATCATCACTGCAATGAAAATCAACTGGCCAAGATGTGAGGTTGGCAGGTTGAACACCATGACAGATAGCACAATACACATTTCTGAATGTCACCTGGGTTCCAAGAGACACCGGAACAAAGATGAGTGGGTCACTGAAATCAGTAGTGTTCTCGCATCTGGCCTGGGAATCTGAACCGTCCCACGCTGGTGGGCATCGCGAGACGAACAGATAATTCTCCTTCCTGGTTGAAAAACATGAATACATGTCGGGACGTACTGAAGCAGGCATGTCAAATTTTTCCTCCTCAGGACCGAAAGGGTCAGAGAAACCAGGAGGGTCAAAGATACCAAATCCATCTCCACCATCACCACCCCCTCCGGTCTGGCATGCTGATTGATAGTCCCAGCAGCAATCTGCAAAGCGCTCACAGGCATCATCACAGCTACACCTGGAGATTTCACCATACCAGTTTGCCGCACCACACCCTATGTATGCACACATTTGAAACTCTCTGCAGATTGTGATGGTCATGTTCGTATTATTGGCCTGGATATATTCAATAATTCCTCTTGTCTGTTCCGCGACTGCAATATGAAGAATGAGATGGAAAAAAGGGCCATGACAGCTATAACCTCTGAATTACTTGAATAACACAATGACGGGCTTGTTCACATATGCTGCTGTTAACCATGGCGGTTTTCCGCAGGGTATTTTAAGCGTACTTTATTTGTTATTCTTCTTTATATACCTCATACATAGATTGTCATTCACTGATTGGTCAAGACTATATCACATGTCAAGGAGCATTTCGATCTATCAAGTATCATTACGTCAGAGGGGTTAATAGCTACTATCAAACCCTGGGATAGGACCCCTAACCCCTCCCGCGACTTAGTTGCGCACACAATTTTTTTGAGTTGCTAGGCTACCGCAATCGCGCGGTTACGCGCAGCGCGTAGGAATTCAATACTCTTGCCTTGGACTTGATGTTGGATTTTTCTTATTTGGGTTAGTAAATTCCTCGATCTCGTTTCCTGTTTTTAGAGCTAGATCTAGACCAACAGCTAGACCTAATCATGAATCAATAAAAAGGATGAGGTATATAAAACAAATATGGACTGCTCTGTAATCGGATGATGGTGGGAACTACCACTCCCTCGGTGGTGTTCACACCGGCCCTTCTATTACCCCCTCGGCTTCGCCTCGGGTGTGATAGAAGGGCCGGTGTAAACACCACCTTGGGAGTGATATTTCCCACCATCATCCTCATGAGCAGTCAATATTTGTATAATGTAACACATAGATAAGTGATTACGCGTAAGAACTTCGACTGCTGTACAAAGCTAACTTTTTTCATCCCAACTTTCTTTCAAGTCCCCAAAAGCCATGATGGTTTACGGCAGCATATATGAACGAGCCCCACCCCTTTATTCACTACGGATAGACCTTACGCTAAAGCATTGTATATGAGACACTCTGTACGTGTGACAACTGTGGTAGTCAACTGCCGTGTTCCATTAGTTGGTCAGAATAAAGAGTTAAATAGTTAAAGAACAGTGGAGTCTAGCTTACAAAGAACAACCATATCAAACCATCACCAAAACGAGGCAATATCTTTCAGTCCCGATTCATAGTACTATTGTATTTTGGCAAGGCATTGATATAGATTTGCCACTCCATACCCAGGAGAGAAATGGGGACCTGGTAGGATGGCGAAAGCATTTGTGTTAGAACTTCTTGTATGCCCTCAAGGTGACCATATGGTAGGAATACTCCCCAGGGAGTGGAGATGGTGCACATTGTACGTGAATGAATCCGATGACGGGTAATAATATCTGTAAATCGCTTAGAGACGGCATTTAGTATTAAATGCTATAGAAATCCAGATTATTATTATTACTATTATCAATAACTCTGAATAAGAAGATTCCCTCATAAAAAGCTGATTCAATTGGTCCAAATGAGTGGTACCTGGGTTCCACTGTTTTTAACAATGTGTTCTTCAGATGTACCAATAGGAACAGAATCAAAGGTGAATCAAGATGATTGGGATTTAAAAATGCACTCTTAAACAAGGAATAGTTCCCTGGTAATTTATTCAGTTGTGGACACATGGTTTCCTCACTCCGAGGGTACTCTAAGACGAATATGATTGAAAAATTACTGTAGACTTCATGTTAATGATGTAAAATGTTAATTATCACACAAAATAATCCTGGGTAAACCTATATTGTGCACAGGATCATTTTGTAAAATGCAAAATAAGCCAAGCCAACATTTGGTTTTTATCCATTGGAGATTAAATTTTACTCACCATCATGTTAACTGCTTAAATATCTTTTTCCCGTAGGCGAATTATTTATACCACCAATACATGATGGGTTTATGGGTTTAACCCTGATCTAGATGGTCATGGGGGGGGGGGGGTCCCGGGTGCTCAAGTTTGATTTGGACAGGGGTGTGTGGCTGAAGTAATTCAAACCCATTCGCGCTATTATTGGTCATTTTGGTTAAAAAGGGAAGAAGGTTGGATAAAACAGTGAAAAATGTTCAATTATTTTGTATCTGGAATTTACACTTTAGCGAGAACGTGTGTCAAGTGTTATTTCTGAACAAAAGAGTATTTATAGAATAATTTGTAGGGACTTTCCTACACAAAATCATACCCTATGCTCAGGGACTTATTTGTTGGCACATCTTTGTATACTATAGTAGTGGGGGCACCTCCCCCCACGGTTAGGGCATTTTACTAAGGTAAGCCCCATACAGTAACAAAAATAAAGGTACTTACGCTGACTACAATTCACTCCTTCGTATCCTAGATGGCAAACACATTTATATCCAGCGTCATGATCGAAGCAATCGCTATTAATGCTGCAAGGGTTCGAAGCACAATTTATCCCTGAAAAGACATGTGGTAAAGCAGGATATGTATCTACATTGCAAAATATGATAACTAGATATGATTGACAGCACACAATTGTCAGAGGGCTGAGAAAAAGTAGAGTACTGGTCACGCGATTACATTATGAAAAAAATATCTTAAAGCAATATGCCATTTTCGTAATTTAACTATAATGAATGCAAAGGGTAGGTGAAGGGAATTGTAGACCCTTAAGCACATTTTCATAATTTACATAATTATGAAAAATGTTACACAGAAAGTTTCGTATTCTCTTCAGTAACTTCTTCTCTTTATAGTTAACAAAATTATGGTCATGATGTAACTGATTAATAAGATAACAATGATTAATGACGGCTTCACCAAAGGTCTCTCATTACCTACATGTGTACGTAATAAGGGACAGTTACAAATCAAGACATTTTAAATACAATTTGAATGAAAATTAGATTGTTATAGTTAGTTCAAACACTTTTTGAAAGAGATACACGCAGCCAATGAACTTAATTACTGTAATTTTGAAACGGTTTTAAAACAATGTGGCACAAAATATTTAACTGCATGTTATTTTACAATGCCATTGATTTCATCAATTTGCTTCTCTGCTTCTTCTTCTGCCTCTTCTTCTTCCACTTCTTTTTCGTCTTCCTCTTCTTCTTTCTTCCCTTCTTCACCTTCTCCTACTTCCTACTATCATTATTATATTAATTCATTTAATCTTTATTCTATTTTTCTTTTCTTCTCAAATTCACTTTCCGGCCTTGTACGTCTCTAGAATCTCGTACTATACTACTCTGTTTAAATACCTTTTAAATTCAGACCTACTATATTGTGTTGTTCAGTTCGGGAGCCTATTCACATCCAAACTATGCTTTTTATTTATGCTCCCCACATTTTACATTGTTTTTACCTTGCCTGTCTGATCTACATATTTCGAAATTGCGCACTTAGTTTCCGTACATTATACTTGATTTGAAATCTTTTATTTTTAAATATTTTTTTCTTGTGTGAAATCTACTCTTATAGTGTATACAAAAAAATTAAAAAAGAATTTAAACTGTTTTTTATGTAAAATGTGGAATAAATAAACTTCAATTAATCAACCAGCATTGGGTCATTGATTGTCCTCGGCATACTCGACATGCACAACAAACGACCCCCATCTTGGACCTGGTGTCCCCCATTGCCTACACACATTTCTGATCAGACACCATTCATAATGTGCATTGCAACACCTATTCACAACACACAATGGCCATAGGTTTTTCTGTAATGGTTGGCACACTTAAACTTCCTTTTCAAACTATTTTTTTAAGAGCCACCCCTAAATATCTGCATACACCACAACATTCAGTGAAAATGGTGTTTTTACATCAGAGCAAAATTTTACGATAAAAAGTGCTTCCCTTGGTCAATTTTGCCAATTTTCTCGGAGAAAGAACGCATTGTAGTCTTCGAAATGAATTGGATATATGCAATAGTATTGTTAAAGGCCACAAATGGCGCAATAGCAATATTGGAGCCAACACGGACAGACAGCGATTGGTTCAAGCTTGGTGGTCTCCAATTCCCTACGGTCTCCAATTCCATACACCTACCTTACGTCTTTGAACAGTGCTTCCATACAAATGAATTCATTCCCCAGTTTTGTAGAATTGCACCTCTATAGTTAGAATGCAAACTGCAAATATTATGCATTGTTAGGTAGGGCAAGCCATAATATTTGTCCTACCTATAACAATTATAATAACATTATAACATTCTGACTATTGAAATACAAATATTTTTAAGAATAAACGGGTGGATGAAATTATTTAAATCAAGGCACTTCACAAAGACGTATGCCTTAAATTCGGTTACAAAAATAGCTTATTTGGAGGGTTTGATTATGTGGTAAACAAGATTTGATGGTTATAACTATGAGTTTTGGAATGACCACAATGACAAAATAATCAATCAGTCTTGATAGAGTTAAACACAACATGCACTGCACGCAGAAATGGGTATATGGAGGCAAGTTGACTGGCATGCATCTTCAAAAGATATGATTGAAGACTTTTCATGATTGACTGTTCTTAGGTTAATTGATCTGAAGGAATAGTTTTCTCGTTTCAACAGTAAACCTAAAGGGGGAAAAGTCTTGTCATTATAACTATAAGGTTGAATACTGGTCATATGGTTACACGGTGAAAGAAACTGTCATAACATTTTGAACGGTCGATAACAAAGTAAATACAAAAATAAAAATGTGTTATGAGCTTTTAAATCTTTCAAAAGATGACTCGATCTTTCTGAAATCAAACACTGCGCAAATATAGAGGTAAATAGCACTGCACCCACCTGTATCACCCCAATTTGGTCCAGAGTTCAAACTATTCCTGGTCATACTGCACTCTCGCAAACAATGCCTCCTGTTCACCAAGCGTGAACACATACCACACAAAAATGATACCAAATGATTCGGGATAAAACACTCTTTCATAAGATGTATAATAATTTACTGTTCATAGAAGATTTTTTTAATAATTAGCAATTTTCTAGGAGTAAACTTTTTTTTGACTCACACGGTATAGCATGGGAAACTTTTAACTGGCCATAATTATGTCTTTTTCTTTCCCTCTTTTCCAACATTTCTGAATGCATTCATTTTATTTTATTTTATTCTGAATCACAGGTACCAATCTTACAATTTTATTTTATGGAGTAATTGGTCTTATTAGGTGATTTTAATTTGTATAGGTAGGCCTATTCAATTTTATTGGTAATATTTGTATATTACTGTTCCAAATTTATAACAAATGTGTTTTATCTGTATAATTATACAACATTTTTATCAATTGTATATATTGACATGTAATTTGAATTTCAATGTTATTTTAATTTATCTGGTAAATACACGTGCGATTCAGCATATGGTTGCAATTCATGTTTTTGTGTTTAATAAACTATTTTTCGTAATTGAATTTAATGTAATTGAGCGGACATACCTTGAAGATACAGGTCACATTGGGCAAACATACTCAATATAGTCTGTTTGGTATGCGAAATGTAAAGCTGAAACCAAATGGTCGGTAGGTTGAAGTACCCATACTCGCTGGACATGCCGTTTGACGCCGTCAGCAACGTGGACTTATCGGCAGAGGATTGAATGATGAACGTGTACCCCGATCCAGTGATCAAGGACATTTTGGATAGGAAGACCTCGATCCCACAACCCCGGTCGGGCACGTCCACTTTACAAGTGATGTTGTAGTCAAGATCAAGTTTTAACGACTGGCTTGGATTCAGAATCCATTTGATCACACCGACATCTGTCGCAAACCGTCATGCATAGAAAAGAAATAATCTAGTGTCAGATATTGACGAAAGAGAGAGCGAGTAATATATTGGAATAGGAGATAACAATCGAGGGCAACTCTTTGAAATGTGTCCTGTACATCGTACAGCAATCATCTATTCGTTTCATCCTAAAAAGAATATCTCTTTATAAGACCACTTACATTATCAAATGGTCACATCAACTTTTTTTTTTTTATGAAATAAATGGGGAGAAAGACATAGGTCGTACACGACACATTGCACGGAATTGACCAAAAGAGGATCAAAATAAATGATATCACAGCCAAATCATATGGTATCAGCATTGAATGGATTACACACAAATTAAGACTTGGATTTAGGAGACAAATATATTTCATACTGGTATCTCAGTAAAAACCATGCATGGAAATAAAAGTACCAGACAGTGTTGCGTCTGAGGAAAAATGGGTAAAAGGACATTCATTTATAGTACTGGGATTTAACAATGTAAAAAAGATTGAACTGTAAGACATTGCCACCAAAGCTAATCCCCAAACTACTTCCATCTGTATGTTTGGGGTACAATGTCATGGGTACTTACCCTAACAGAAGTAAAGTGTGCATTATTATCAAATACCCCCCCCCCCCTCATGCTCTTTAACCTCCAACCAGTTATTTTCTTTTCTTGTGTGAGGATGTCCGTGTGTGTTGATTAATAAGTATGGTGTCTTCCATCATTATTTCAGGGGTTTATTATTGGTCTCCTCTACCTATTATATGCTTGTATGAGGGAAAATGCCGGGGTTGGTGGGAGGGGGAGATTGGCGACATGCCCCCCCCCCCACCAATTTAGACATTAGGGGGCATAATATCAGACCCCCCCCCCCCTCCCCACACACACGCAAATGTTGGGATATGTTATATAATTATGGCTACACACTGTAGCAAATATGGAGTTTGAAATTCATAATGCATGTCGATCTTTTTTTTGGGGGGGGGGGGTGGGGGTGGGGGTCGGAAACCTTTCGGAGCACCAGTGTGTTCTCTATTTGTTTGACATGCGTGCAATCGTTGTAACAATTGGCTTCTCACCTTCAGCACAGCCTACACCTCCATACCCCGGTGGACAATCGCACAGATACCCACCGTAGAAGTCTTCACACACGCTGCCTGCTGCACACACACCAAGGCTACAGTTTGCTACAAATTACAAAAAAAAACGGAAACATGATATATTTTAGCGTTAAATTGATCACATATTGTTCTTCAAATTAGCAACAATAATACTTTTTTTTTACCATTACAATGATAGAATATGTCGCAAAGTCTTTTAAATGGCCACTTCTTATTTTGGTTAATGATTTTTAATTTCTCAATGTGTTGCCTAATTAAGGATTTTAAAACTTGCTTTCCTTTTTACAATTCCTAGCATCAAATTCATTATATAGTAATGTAGCAAAAATGGATGCAGTGTGGGCAGATTGTTGTCACACAAGGGTAAATGGTCAATGTGCAAATGACTAGCAGACTGCCATGTACAGAGCAAATAGTTTCCACCCTCTTGCATAATGTTTAACATGCAAGTGCTCAGACTAAAGGGCTCACTAGGTTGCGTCCATGAACTATATGAGCATGTTTCTTTTTGGCTAGAGGAAAACTTCGGCTACATTCTCATTTTTCTTATAACTTATTTTTCATAAATGGTGTTATATTCTCATGAACCTTTGTTTCAATATGTAATAACATGAAAATGACTGGAATTCATTGGCGGTGGAGAGAACTCAAAGATTGTTCACATTATACAATTAAGATTTTTATGTATTAACTAAGTACATAAACAACAGAAATATATTGTCATCTTAAAAATTGGTTTCTCTTTATCATAGTAAATGTCTGAATAGAGTATTCAAATGGCATTATTTTAAACCAGGAAAAAAGAGATTGACACTTGAAAGAGAGAAAGGGGTGAGTGTGTGAGAGGCGCAAAGTTTGTATTTCGGAGAAAAAGATAATAACAAAAAGAAAATATGTAGGAGAAGACAAGACAAACAAGAGAGAAAAGAATGTGTGGGTGGTTGTGTGTGCGTGCGTGTGTGTGTGTGCGTGAAAGAGACAGAGAGAGAAGAGAGAATAGAAATGGAAAGTATGTGAGAGAAGACAAGAAAGAAAAGTGAGAAGTGAATGTGTGTGTGTGTGTGTGCGCGCGCGCGCGCGCGCAAGTGCAAGAGAGGGAGATAGAGAGAGAGAGAGAGAGAGAGAGAGGAAGAATAGAAACAAGTATCTGAGAGAAAGACAGAAGAGTGAGAAAAGAGTGTGTGGGTGTGTATGTGTGCGCATGCAAGACAGATATAGATAGAAGAGAAAATGAAACGGAAAGTAAGTGAGAGAAGACAAGAAAGAAGAGTGAGAATGTGTGTGTGTGTGTGTGTGTGCGTGTAACAGTATGCGCGTTCAAGAGAGTGAGAGAGAGAAGTCGAGAGAAGAGAAACAGAAAGTATGTGAGAGCTAGACAAGACAAACAAGAGAAAAAAGAATGTGTGTGTGCGTGCGTGAATGAGACAGAGAGAGAAGAGAGAATAGAAAGAGAAAGTATGTGAGAGAAGACAAGAAAGAAAAGTGAGAAGTGAATGTGTGTGTGTGTGTGTGTGTGCGCGCGCGCGCGCGCGCAAGTGCAAGAGAGGGAGATAGAGAGAGAGAGAGAGAGAGAGAGGAAGAATAGAAACAAGTATCTGAGAGAAAGACAGAAGAGTGAGAAAAGAGTGTGTGGGTGTGTATGTGTGCGCATGCAAGACAGATATAGATAGAAGAGAAAATGAAACGGAAAGTAAGTGAGAGAAGACAAGAAAGAAGAGTGAGAATGTGTGTGTGTGTGTGTGTGTGTGTGTGCGTGTAACTGTATGCGCGTCCAAGAGAGTGAGAGAGAGAAGTCGAGAGAAGAGAAACAGAAAGTATGTGAGAGCTAGACAAGACAAACAAGAGAGAAAAGAATGTGTGGGTGGTTATGTGTGTGTGTGCGTGCGTGAATGAGACAGAGAGAGAAGAGAGAATAGAAAGAGAAAGTATGTGAGAGAAGACAAGACAAAAAGTGTGTATTGGTGTGTGGGTGCATATGTGTGTGAGTATGGGGATGGTGTAGTTAAAAAAAAACTATTGAGAAAAAAAGTATTGGTGTGTGTGTGTGTTTGTGTGTGTTTGAGAAAAAGAAGGCTTAGGTGTGATCACTCACCTGTCACACAGGACTCAGTTACCCGTAAAACGAATTGTGTATTTCCTCTTTCAACAGGGTGAAATAGCAACCAGAGGGTATGATTCAGAAAATGAAAATACTTGTTCACCACTGTATATGTGTATGATTGATAAAAGCCTGGCAATTTGAGGTTGTCTGTACAGAGAAAATAAAATATATATAAATAAAACATATACGTGGTTTTTTTTTCCCGCACAGCATCATCATTACTGTATTTAGACAATTCTATGGAAAATGTTCACATGGCACAAATCATAAAAATGACAGAAACTGCAGACAATGTTTGCTACATGATATAGGTGGTGTTAACCAAAAACACTTTTTAATTTGATTGGTATATCAATAGGTAATTACTCAAAAAAAGGCTTTAATTTGTCATCTTACCAGGACCCCATCTTTCGCCTGGGTATGGACTGGAAAATGTTGATTATTGCATTGCCAAAAGACATTTGAATTTAAAGCTTATCTGCCGTAGTTTACAGGAGGGATTAGACCGCTCTGCAAGGTCACTGGACAGGTGGTTATCTCATCAACTCAGCTCTCAGTTAACATAAGAAAAAGAGGATCATGGGGGACCAATGGTCACCGATTAGGCATTGTTTGTTATATAGAGGGCGCAAGTAGCTACCAGTAGCATGGGCATTTATCCAAGTCAAATTTAGATCATCTTCTTATAAAATGATTCCTACAATATCTAGCCAGAATCCATACCAACAATTTGGTATGAAATCATATTTACACTTCATGATCTATCAGAATATAACAGAAAAATGAGGGTAACCGGGCATTTTGAAAAGATATCATTGATTAAAATGGAACAATTTTAAAACCAATTGGTGACTCGGTAATGTCACTGTGACGTAGTGCAGAACAACTTTCCAATCCATTTCAACACATAAAATGACTTATATATCAATTTTTCTTCTTCAAAATTTAAGACACAGGATGGTCTTTTCTTTAGAGACGGCCTACAATATTATACTATCCATAATATATTTTGAGTAGTGCCCTAAGGGAGTAGGCGCTTAGAAAAAAAAAGAAATTAAAGATTATTTTGTTGTATTTGACACACAGGACTCGTCCATGACTACTTCGTAATCCACTGACCAATTTGCCAATGATTCACATAGATTTTAATGGTGATTTCTTATTTGAAATATTCACAACTCTCCTTTTATTGACCAGATTTATTTCAAGTTTTGTCCATTTTTTTCCTCTCATTTTCATACTGTCACATAAATGGACTCATTAGTAACGTTGGATTGTCCTTTAACGGTTTGATGCTCCGACAAATACTCCTGAAACAATTGGTCCAGGTTTTATTTAATCAAAAGGATAGGGTTGCAAATGGGGTTCTAGATTAGGCTAATGGTTAAGTTTAGTGTTTGGTCCAGGGATGAAGTTAAGAAATCAGTTAGTGTAGGCAAGATTCCATGTTAACATTTTATGTCTAGAGGGTCCGGATTTAGATTTCTAAATTCTTCACGCATGGGCCCTATGTAAAGATTTTGACATTCTGGGGGTCTAGAGACCTAGACCTCAGGTGCCCATGTGTCCCCGAGTGCCAGTCAGTTTCGAATCCTGGTGTAGGGCATTCATTGACCAGAGAGCAATTTTTACCGCAGCATATGAGTCGTACAACTAAAGATTTAGAATGATTCCTAAAAAAAGTGGTTCACGCATTCTTACCTTTGATGATAAATCTGCCTTGACGACCGATTTTAAAGTTTCTAAAATTGATTTCGATACCACATCCTGGAGTGACTTCTACTTTATAGGCTTGAGATTTATCTTCCAACCGGTCCGTACGGATCAGAATAGCCAGAGGGAAGGAGGCATTCCCCTCTATGTGGCGTACGTTTTCCTCTGACAAGAAAAAGTACTACATATCAACAAAATTCCACAATCAATATGAAATAAATAAACATACATTAAAACGTCCTATGTTATGAGCCACAAATGTGTTAACTCTACATAGAAAGTACATTAAAACCTACTCGTGCCAAAACTCGAGAGATAATAATCATAATATGCCATTCTTGTATGGCGCATTTACATCGTATAATTTAAGAAGGATACATGCATGGGCTCATCACATGATCAACCTACACCAGATTTGACGATGTGGGCATCTATCGTACAAAGCCTGACTGCTTCTGGATGACTGAGCAATGTTATCTCAATATCTCATGGTGCGCAGAACACATGAAAAAGTTTAATACGCATTTAAAACAATGCAGAGGCTACGACAACAGATGAATGCGCACAATTAACCCTTGCAAAATGCTTGGATAGGGACAAAATTTGCCCTTTCCGTCCGTGTTTCAAATGCACAACTTAATACAAAAATATAAGGATATAATACTAAAAATTAAGGTAATAAGTTTTATACGAATAATGAGATTAAATATTGACGGGCTCGTCATTCGTAGGACACAAGGGTATATATCGCACTTGCTTTGGCAATATGTCATTGTAGTGCCGGCTGTGCTTATTAGCTTGCGCGATATTCCAAGGTATCTCATTCACAGTCATTCAATATTCATGTAATATTGAATGGCTTTAAAGGTATTACAAAGTTTTGGTATGGGGTCATGAATTTGGTTCAAATTAACATATTGGAAGCATGTGCGTTCCTACAATATTCATTGATCGTTGTCGCGGTTGCCGAAATCGAGTCTAAAGTTATGAAATTATAAATAATAAACTCTTTGTGTTGTATAGCTCCCTCTCAAGGTCAAGATATTACTTTAGCTATGAAACAATGTTTCTAGACTAAAATCGAACGATTAGCCTATCCTGTTTGGAAATTATATATCACAACTACATATTCTGAGATTTTCATGGTCGCAGCGGGATACAAGGGTTATTTCTGATCGGCTAAAAACGCTTTATACAAATGAATATATATATATATATATATATAATGATTTACCATCGTTGCATCGGATTCCAGCAAAGCCGACTTGACACTGGCAGACATAACCACCACCCTGCATGTTAGTACACAGGCTGCCATGCGCACAGGTATCTGGGCTACAATTTGCCATCTTCCCTGCATTTTGAATGACAGTTATATAACACATTTAATGAAGAAAAAGGGAGTTATGAAGACTTTAGTCATTAAGAATCTATCCACAGGAATACCTGCGAATAGGTAATTTTATCAATATTAACACACTTTTGAATCCTTCGAATATATAAATACATGTACATGTATTATTGCAATGTAACATTAGGGATAAGCCACAGAAGGACCTGTATAGCATAAAGCTTTATTAACATTAATCGTACAATAATTTTATTATAGGTTTTCCCGCCCAACTTCGTAAAGTTAGCATCCGAATTAACGTTACGTTCATTCAAGTTCGTGCAAAATTGAATGACTATTACCCCATTCACAGTGGCCTCAAACACCGCGACAGCAGCGGGACTGTCCCGCTGCTGTCGCGGTGTTGTCTTCAGTGTGAAGGCTCGGACCCGTTATAAACTATCGCGGGATAACACCGCCTCGCGATAACGCCGCGACAAACTATCGCTAGGTTCGCCTAGCTACAGCAGCGGGACAGTCCCGCTGCTGTCGCGGTGTTTACTCAGTGTGAAGGCTCTCCGCTATAACACCGCGACAAACACGTGTGATTTGTTTACTTCTATCACTGACCTCTTTTCTCCAGCAATGGGGAACATAAAGTGAAATAGAAATAAAGTAACCAGTGGATTCAAATTGATTTTATTATTATGTAGATATTATAATTATCCAAATAAAAATATTTCACACTTCAAAAAATTAAAATATTCTGACTGGAAGCAATAAAAATGCTAGTTTTTTAAAAAGTAATGTGATCGAAAAGTATAGATAGATCCATAGCTAAATCGAGCTAGCTACATGAGGAAGAGTGTGTAAAGTACAGCTAGCGCGCGCAATTTCAAGCAATCGAAAACCCCGCGCTGAAGTATTTCCGGTCATATCGGGGTCACTCGCGGGTCACTCGCGGGTCATGAGCCATGCATACACGTGTTTGTTACGGAGGTAATAAAAATCACCCGCTGCAGCGTGAATGGGTACATGATATTTATCCCGCTGCTGCAGCGGGATAACTTTTCTACTGTGAATGCATTTGTAGCGGTGTTATGGCGGTGTCGCCGCTCCGCTACAACGCCGCTACAAATTTCAAAACCACTGTGAATGGGGTATAAGTGGATCAACATTCAAAAAGCTAATTGCGTCATTCAGTTTCATTTAGAAACATGCGATTTCATACTCTTGTCAGTGAGACGTGCAAAACGAGCATTCAATTTAGAAAATCGTGCAAAGAACATTCAAATATGCGCCGGACAGACGGTGGTATGTATTCCTGCATTCAATTTCGTGATTAGGCATATTATGTGACATTTGTGCATTACTTTTCATTTGATGAATTTGTCACTAAGTCTTAATATACTTCTGTTTGAATAATTATATGCAAAGTTTTCTTGGATGAATGACATGCGTATTCGTTAGTAGATGTCTGTCTTGCAGGTAAGGGTCCCCAGAGAAAGTGCACAATTTGTGACTTCTCTTCTAAGCACAAGCTATATATAAACAGATCTTGGACAGAGGTAGAGTTCAGCTTAATAGACATGGACATGATGGAAACAAAATACAATGATGAAAAAAGAAAAGATGCTAAGTGAAAAGAAAGGAAGATCATCTACTCAATCAAGATTGATCAAAACAAACCATTTAAAAAATAACCTCTAAGACCTCTGAAATGAAAAATATAAAGGTATGAATAAAAAGATGTGTCAACAGAAATAAATAATGTCTAAAGAAAGAGAAACATAAAATGCAATATAAATATATCAGACAAATAAGAAGATTGTATAATGGGAAATCATGTCAGAAAAGATCATAGAGAAAAAGAATAAACAAATGAACATGAACTACTGAATATCCGAATAAACATCGAGTCTCATACTATATATTAATTAAAAATAAATGTTAAATAGCAATTAGTTAGTAACTTTTCTCTGTGTTACGGGGGCCCAGGTGTTAGTACGATTCACTGGATAAAACAAGAGAGAGAAATCTGGTTTTGCAGCTCACTGAGTACATTGACCTATCACACCATCTTTTGGACACACATGACATTACACAAACGTACCTTCATTGCATTGTGATGTCATAGTCACATGACAAATGCTCCTTGGTTTAAAATCCTCATACGTCCCCATCAGCAATGCGGGGCGATCGAAGAAGAGGTATTTGTCAGATCCACCTTCGTATAAAACAGTTGACAGAAGCACATCATCTGCGAAATCGTTACGGAAGAATACATCGAAAAACGTACATTGTGATGCCGTAGCTGTATCTATGATACCTATGCCGCAGCCGGGCTCGGTCTGTATGAAAGTCATGGTTCCAACGCTGGTAGCCGTGGTTGGGCCAGGGAAAGGAATCACTACCAGCTCGCTGCTGTTAACAAAGTTGTTCTGTACTCCAAATTCTGAAGGAGAGAGTTGGAAAAAGTGAATACTTAGGTATTCTATTTACAGTTAAAACATATATTTGTGTACGATTCAAGAAGTCACCACCCAAAAAGAGATTGCTTATGTAGTGCCACCATTCCAAACCAACTTCAACTTTTCACTATCAGTATCAATCTATGTAATATTTCTGATATGTGTTTTCTTTATTCCTCGATCTATTATTACGAATTGCTATAAGTTATACCTACCTTGCCTAGTTTCGATGTATTAAGCATACGCATAAGCTGACATCTAGTTCTAGCATAAAATCAATTAGATATTCTGTAATAATTTTATTGCAGTCACCGCATACCCTTCATGTAAAGTGAACCATGTAAATTATTTCTACCTGATTTTATTTCTGTTTGAAATCCAACGTTTTGGTTGCAATATGTGCTGGGTAGGGTGATAATATACATAAACAATGTTGACCTTTCCGATACCATATCGGTAATGGCTCCCAAAATATTATACGAAGTAACTAATCTCCTTTGCGATGCATTCTACTACCGATATCTTTAATCAGCGATCAAATGTGTTTCAGATACTGCCCTTATGACTTCATGTGGACAGACAAATATATAGAAGCATGTACAGGTATAACCAGTTCTATTTATGAAATGTTTAAGGTTTTTTTTTACTCAACATTACTGTAATATTCGTAATTCACTGCATCATTCGTGAATTTCATAGTCTTTTTCAATAAGATTTCGCAATCCACAATATACAGTATGTTTGTATAGAGTTTAATAATAATTGATGAATGAAAAGGGCAAGTATTTGATTACTTTGATGGAAATGAAATGAAAGTAAGGTCCAACATTTAATTGCTTCATCTATCGTCAAAGAAGAGTAAGACCTGGTATTGCAATTGGGTTGTATGAATAAGGTTTATGGTCAGGTTTCTAGTTTAGAATAATAATAGGTCCAGGGCTGAACTTGGGAAGTTGGTAGGTCTTAAATAGTTACTGTGAAGCAATGTCACTTGGGCATATTTTTGCCATTAGGACGGGAATTTATGTAAAGGCTAAATTGATCACATTTTCCTCTCAAAATTGGCAACAATTATACTTTTCTTTTATTGCTACATTGTTCTCGTACACGTGTTTCTGAAAGCAATCTGCTGGGTTATGAGCTACATTGAAAATTCAAAAATTGCCCAAAACCTCACAGTTTGTGGCCAATTAAGGATTTCAAGGCTTATTTGCCTTTCAAGAATAAGGGGAAGTCCATTCTGCTAATCAGTTGGTTCTAAAAGAAATCAAAAAATTATAGTAACATATTACTACAGGTAATGCAAAATGCATTTAAATAAGAAAGATACAAGTCTTTGAAGCTTTAATCGATGAAACACAAATTGGCAAGTCTGTAGCAGGTCCTCCCCCATTTGGTCTGTAATAAAAATTCCTTTAAAAAGTCTGGCCTCTTAGTCACTGATGAAGGAAAAGATTTGTTTCATTTAGGGATTGAATGAAAATTCATTTGCAAAGATTACAGGGGGCATGCATAATTGACAAAAAAATATTTTTAGACAAAATATAAATTATTAAGATGCTCAAAAGGTAGGTCACAGGGCTGCCAGCTTGCGTTTATTTGTTTACAACTTGAATCATTCATAACTTTTCTATTTCTAGTCAGATTTTGCTACAACTTTAACTGACCTGTTACTCCCCATTTTCTGCTTGTATTAAAATTCAAATTAATATCAGAATGGACTTCCCCTGACGTTTTATATAATTATGTATACTTTTCTTTTCTCACCGTCTTTACAATCTACACCTCGGAAACCCGGCAAACAACTACACACATAGCCAACATGTATATCAAGTGATTGACAATCATTCGATGGACACTCTGCTTGCTCGCATGGATCTGGAGAGAATGCTGTAAAAAAATATATACAAAAACACAAAGGTCATTCTTCGACCTATACAGTGCGACCCAGAAAAAAAAAACGAAACCGAGAACTAACGCGTATATATATATAGACCGAAGACTTCATGCATGGCTGATTGTCAACGAAACGTAATTACGTCTGCTTGTTGCTACGGCAGGAACCAGTGAAAACGAATTCGTTTGATAAAATTATGGAAATGCAAGCACTACTTTAAACAAACAGAAATTTGTCATTTCTTACTCATTTTTCCTGATTGAGGTGTCATATGAAAGGGCATGACTCAACTTTCTAGAAAAGTGATTTTCTCTTTGAAATTCAGATACCGTCGGCCAAATGACTTTTTGGTTTTCTCTCTTCAAATTCATTTTAATCACTCATGCGTGAAATATGCATCATTATGAGTTGCATCAAATCAAAGAGGAGGATCTAAGCCTTACAAATATGTGTCATTTAACAATTATAATTAAGATTAAGTTTTGATAAAACAGCAATATAGTTCTCGGTTTCGTTTTTGCTGGGTCGCACTGTAGTTCATTCATAATGATAAAAGTCACATTTTTAGATTGCTTAATACTACATTTCTAAGTGCTTTCACTTTGTGATTATCTTTAACCCCGATCATTGGATTTAATTGCTGAACCGCACATGAGAGAGCGCAAGCTCCACTCCCTTGGGAGTAATCTGGCCAGGTGCCATTTTACAAGCGCACACATGCCAATCCAACCATATTAATGCTCGCATCCTGGGCGAAGAGTGGCAAATGTTGATTAATATCTTGAAGAAGGACATTGGTGCCGCGCTTGGGCTCGAACCCTAAACCATGTGATCCACAGTCTGGCGTAGTATCCACCAGACCATAGTTGATAGTTGACAGGGGTGGTTATTTTACCTGACAGCTAAGAAAGCAATAAATGCTTTATGACGCCATGATGTGGTAAAACTGCCACAAAACATAATAACATCAGGGCAAGTCTAATCTATATTGTCTGATGCGTTACCCATCACATCTCAAAGAAATGTTCATTTCTACTTCGCCCTATCTCTATTTCCTTCTTTTTTTCACCGCATAGGGACTTTCGTTGTGTTAGTGATATGCGCTATACAAATAACGTTCATTATTAGTATAATTATTATTATTATTATTATTATCTCATTTGATGACTGTATTGAGTTTTGATCAGACCAAATCAAGTATCAAGTAAAATAATGATAATCACTGTAGTTATAAGGTGACTTTTCTAAAGGGTGCAAGGCGCTGTCCCTTAGTCTAAGGACAAATTAAGAATCGCAGAGGTATATAAATTTATATTTTGTAGAAGTCGAGTAAATAACTATTTCACAGAAATACAGGAAGTTTGTTCCATTGGCGTGGGGCAATAGATTGAAAGGATTTAAAGTCAGCCTTTTTTCATGATTTGGAAATGAGAAAGGAAAGAGCTGATGCAGATCGAAGATAATATGGTGTTTTATTGAGTGAGGAAATGTATAGAGGAAGGATGTTTGACAAATATTTAAAAAAAATATGAACAGGTATCCATCATATCCATGCACACTTAGGCCTGGGGTCGTTGTATCGAAATTTGCAATTCTCTCTTCAGATCAAAGTCAGTAGTGATGTACGAAGCTGATATAGTGAATATACACAATGTAGAATACAGGCATTAAACCCTACACATTCAGAGCCAATTATTCTTTGCTGATCGATCCACTTTCGCGTACCTTGAGAGGGCTGTATGCTTATCTCCAGAACTGTGGCCCCGGAGGTGGTGCAAATATGCTCAGAACACATCAGCCTTATAGAAGAATGCTGGACAAAAACAAAGGGAAGGCCGCTTGATCTACTAATGATGAGACCAAACAGGTTGCGCTCGGTATTGAGAATCAGTCGCTGTAGGTAACTCGACTCTTCCTGGATTTTAGCCACCCCAATAGCATGGTTCTCCTTGCCCTGGATGTACCAAGACATCTGAGGATACGGGTATGAGGAGCGAAGGTACTGCATCGGGTCCAAAACAATTGGACTGTTCATTTCCAGATCTATGTGATGCACATGGTTTCCTGGCATTGAAATAAAAGCAAAATGTAACAGTCAATCAAGCACCATGTTTATCTCACTTACAATCTGCTAAATAAAGATGGTAGTTGGATTTATAACGGGAGCCATTGGGTGCACCTGTTCATCGGACGGAGCCCGAATTTTCGACCAATTTTCACCGGGCACTTCCCGGGAGGTGCACGGTGAAAATTGGTTGAGTGACAATGCAAGGTGAAAATTGGGCGAGTGACAATGCAAGGTGAAAATTGGGTGAGTGACAATGCAAGGTGCCCGTAGGGTGCCGGCCGGTTAGCTTACGGCCTCCGTCCGATGAACAGGTGCACCCCATGGCTTCCGGGGTCGTCAATTAAGCCGCCAGACTGGGCGCCGTGCGGTGCACTGAATCATGTCCTCTGATATCCCCACCTCCTGTGTTTATGCTGTGTCGGACATTGAGAACTGACAAAAAAAACGTGAGGGGCCGTCTGGGAAAAGTGCGGAGCCCGCACGGGACTGTACGGGGCCCTATGGGCCCTTCCAGGCCTTTCTACGGCCGAACGGTCGGATCAAACGCCAGGAGAATTGGGAACAGCCAACTAAGCACCACGGCGCCCGTACGGCCGGTGAAAAATGTTCCGACGCCCGTAACAGTACGGGAGCCGGCCGGGCACCTGCCGATGCTTCCCAAAATGTCTGTTTTTATTCGGCGTACGGGCCCCGGAGTGTATTTGTGAAAGCCCTATAAGCAGTTTGGAACACATTCACTTCATTCACCTTGGTGGAGACTGTCAAATGTGGATTAATGTCTTGCCAAAGGGCTTAAGTTCCCTGGCAGGGCATTGAATCCTGTACCATTGGTCAAAGTACTTGGACTTTATACTTACCAAATTCTATGATATTAACTACTTCTAATATTTAAAATCTCGAAAACAATTATAATCTTCAATCACCAGCACATTTCCCATATACTCATTCAAATAAGCTTTACAATTATATGTTTGACCAAATAAGTGAGTTTGAGAATTGGCTAATTCTGGGTAGTTTATTCCAAAATTTGGGGGCACAGTTATGAATTCTCTGTCACCGAAGGTGTGGGCAGCATCTCGGGAGATGATTGTTCAGCATGTTACCTTGAGAAGAGAGGAGGAAGTACCGGGGTGCACATGGTTGGGACTTTGGTTATGCAGATAGAGGAGCAAGACCAGTGATGCATTTGAAGGTGAGAAGAAGTATTTTGTAGTTTAGCCGGAACCTGATGGGTAGCCATTTCGATTGGGTTGCAGAACCACATTTTTAAAAAACATGTTCGCTGAGATAGGGCTTAAGTAATATCATCGATGTCTCGATCCTTACCTACTGAGCAATTGGTCCCTGTAAATCCTGGAAAACATTCACAGACGAAGCCATAATGTTTATCCTCGCAGGTGCTACCTGCACTGCATGGCGAGTCATCGCATGAAAGAACAACTAGCAAACATAAGACAAGATAATAATTGTTTGAAAAATTAATGATTATTTTGCGTCTAATTTTAAAACTAGATGTATCTTCGACTGCGCGCAGTTGAAAATGATGCCTCTGCCATATAATGATTTTACGAACCAAAACAGAAGCATTATTTAAAATTCAAGGTTGATTGTAATCCATTGACAGGTTCTCAGAATATCGTGAATACAAGCTATATTTCTTATATACATATATGATCATTTGATCTTTGACCTCATGACCCTAAACTAATCAGTTCTTGGCTCTGTAGGATACAAAAATGTCCTGAGTTTGATAGTAATCCATCGGTCGGTTCTATAATGATAATTCGTTCACGAGCTATTTGTGCATACAATGAGCCCCATGACCTTTAAACTCATTACCCTAAACTAGGCCTAATCAGTTCATTGGCTCTGCCAGATACATACATGTCTTGAGTTGAATGGTGATCTGTCCATCGGTTCTAATGCGATCACGAGCTGTTTTTGCAAACATAATGAGTCCCATGACCTTTGACCTCATGACCCCAAAATCTAATCAATTCATTGGCTCTGCAAGATACATACATGTCTTGATTTTGATGGTAATCAGCCCGTCAGATCTAATGATAAGCGATCACTGAGCTATTTTTGCATACATGAGCCCCATGACCTTTGATCTTTGACCTCATGATCCCCAAATCTCATCATTCCATTGGCTCAGCAAGATACATACATGACCCAAGTTTGGCGGTAATCCATCAATCGGTTTATGAGATAACGCGATCACGAGAACGGGACGTACAGAAGGACAGACAGACAACCCGAAAACGTAATGCCTCTGGCTACTAAGTTGCGGAAGCATATAAATACTGTCTATAGATTAAGGAACTATAATATTAGAAATATGACACAGTATATTTTTGATAAAAGGTATGTTTACCCCAAAGATACCAAATCATTTGTATACACATATACAGTATATCAATTTTTTTTTGTTTTTTGTTTTTTGTTGCTGGTTTGTGTTTACATTTGTAAATTGTTATTGAAAATTGTTACTGAACAGATCAACATTATTGATGAAAAGTTTACCCCGCCTAAATATTGTTCATAACTACCTAATCAAATAGCAGAACGAATAAAGGATTGAATGGACAAATAAACAAAGAAACACACAAACATACAAAGACAAAATAAAGGCAAGTTGAAATTACAAGATTTTCTTTCTTTCTTTTTCATAATTACCTTCATCACACCGGGTCTCCACTTGGATCTCAAAATGAGCAGAGGCTTTCGGGGGGTCGTCATAGGTAACTTGAATCACAAAATCTGGCATGGCAACGAACATGTACACTGTGTCCACGTAAAAATTGTTAAAGTCAGCAAATGTTGTATCGATGTTAGAACCCCCGAAGAACCGAATACGAAGACGATTAATAAGTCCTGTGCCGTGATGATTTGTAGAGACACCTATGGCACAATCCAGTGTGCCATGGATTCGCCAAATATTTCTAACAGTAGCCCAACTTTCTGTCTCAAAATACTGTAATTGCCAGTTCGCTTCTTCAGACAAGTAAACATGTGTCACATATGTGTCTGAAATTAACAGAAAAAAATAATCGATTCTGTAGCTTGAAATGTTTACATAATAATAATAATAATCTTTTTAAGTCCACTCCAAACCGAAAATGGAAATTCTTTTTGCCTAATTATTGATCGTGAGCCCGGCAGCCACTGAGCAGCGCCAGATCGACGTTACTCTATCCCTTATTTGAACGCCAAACAAGGTAGCAGCAACTCCCGTCTTTTAACGTCTTTTTGGTATGACGCGGCCGGGGTTCGAACCCATGACCTCCCGGTTATGAGGCGGACGCTCTACTGACTGAGCCAACACACTGGTGTGTTTCAAAAATTGTGATCTGACACAAGATGATGGAACAGCTTGATAAATACTGTAACCTGTAAAAGCAATTCAATTGTACAGTCTATCACAACTGCTGCAACTTGAAATAGTCGAGTTTATACAGGGTTTGACCCAAAACATTGCAACAACATTTTTTTAGATGGTTTCTTGTAGTACGTGTTTGACATCAGGAACAACATACTAAACATCCAAGAAAATCGGGTTCATACTACTTTCACTGAATTATGGCCACCAGGAAACCTTAAACTCCAACATGGCTTCCAAAATGGCCGCCAGTCTCCTAAATATGGGAAGTGAATTAAATGTACTTTTTATAGCAGAAACAGTAATTAGCAAGATTAGAAAGATCACACAAAGATGAACACCATTATAAAATCCAATTACGATGGCCAACAGAAATAGAATAACTCATTGCAAGTGGTAGTAAAGGATTCTTTGACCCCCAAAACCTGGGTAAAGACACCAAAATCATATGACGGATACATCAAGATTTATGGCTTTGTTAACGTCTGATTTTCTCAGATTATTAGTGTGTTATTTCAAATGTCAAACACTACCAGTAGCCGTTGACAATCCTTTTGTTGCAATTTTTGTTGGGATAAGGGTAATTTTTTTCATTATTTGATCAGAATATTATAACAGACAGCGTTTGTAAGAAAGAAGTTATATGTAGAAATGTACAGATTATAATAATTATTTAAAAAGATGAAAATGATGATAATAATATTAATGACATTAACAATAATAATAATGATTATAATGATAGTAATAATAATAATAACAATGATAACAATAATCATAATCATAAACATATTAATTCATTTATTCCACATGCATGTTCAAACATGCTTTTCAATGATAGACTATCAACCGAATAATTGGGTTTTGAGATGCTTTTTGAAGACATTGAGTGATTAGATTGTTGGTTACGAATAATATGAGGTAGTTGACTACACCTTTTGGGAGCAGCAGTTAATGACAAGACGATGGATAAAAATGGATAAGTTTGACCAATTTTCAATCACATCTAATATTTCAGTATCTGATGACTGTATCCAGCTGAAAGTCCTACTCTTGCGTTGACCAAGAACATCAAATAAAGTCATAGTTGTATGTCAATTTATGCACACATGAGGACATTCCATAACACACGGTTACGTGTATGAGACCTATCGTGTACTTGCATACTGTCTTGTAAACTTAGCCAAATCAATTGGCCAAATTAATCGGCTTACTTCGAATCATCGGGTCACCGCGTCGGGTCAGGTGGTCACGTTGCCCAACCTTAAACTTGCCCCTTTATTCACGAAATGTCGGAGATAATGTTTGTGAAGTAAACCTCTCTTATCTACAAATGGTCTGGTCCAATTTAACCGACACTTTGTGAAGACCCTACGGCAAATCTACGACAGGTCGCGTTGTCTCCCGATTTCGTTTCACAAAAGGTCATGTAACCAGAAGCAATAAACTGATTATTCAAAATATTAAAGCCCCACTGTACTACTTGTAGCTACTAGCTCCCTCTATAATAGAAAACAATGCCCAATCGGTGATCATTGGTCCCCCATGATCTTCTTTTTCTTAAGTTAATTGAGAGTTGAGTTGATGAGATAGCCACCTGCAGTGACCATCCTGGGTGGTCTAATCCCTCATAGCCAAACTAGTACAGAGGGCCTTTAAGCCAATTAATCTTAGTCCAAAGCCAACTTACCGTCTAGACAATTGACACCTGTATACCCAGGAGGGCACGTGCACACATACCCATATGGCTTGTTAGAACAAGTACTTCCGCTTTGACAAGGTGCTGTATTGTCACATCTCGTTACCTCTGTCAAAATGAATATACAAATTAATATACTAAATTTGATTTAAATTCATTGGTCATGCACAAAAATAAAGATACAATGTTGGCATACAAATCATACTCCGGCATTTTCTGCAAAATGAAAAAAATATGAGGAACTCATAATGTTTACAAAGAACCAACAGCAAGAATAGAACACTATATAAATATCGATGGACATAGATATAAATAATTCAACATACTAATACTAAATCGCAAACACACCACAGTTAGAGACACCACAGCCCACTGGAATACAGGAAGACCAGAAAATGTAGCCAGCGATTAGAGATAGAGAGAAGTAGATAATAGGCGAGAGGATCTGAGACAAAAAGAACAAAGTAAATGGGGTAGTAAAAGAAATTTAAAGAGTGTAAGATTTTAATAAGGTAGAAGTGAAAGTAGAAATATGAGAGAGGGAGAAAGCGATAGAAGGAAGAGGAGAGAAACAACAAATCAGCCAATTCCACAATCCAATTTAACAAATTCTTGATCGCACATCTCTTCCCAAAATAGTTAAATGCCCCTTTCATTTCATTCCTTTTAATTTGTACTTATTTTAGGTTTACTTCAATATTATGTTATATTTATATTTCGTAGATGATGTGATATAGTTGTAGTTGTACTATGAGAGAAATCACAAAACTGCTTAAATTGAGAACCCCACTGCACTCTTTGACAAGAGTCGAGAGAAACCCTAGCATAGTGTAATTGTGCAGATCCCAATCAGTTACACCAGGAGAGGGAATATTATAAAGGAATACAGTGATTTAGGTTCTCATCCAAGGCACATATGGCACCTCGTGGCTAATAAGAAATGTTTTGGTAAATCGCGATAAATCGGAAACAGAAAAGTAGGCAAGGGGAAAACAAGCTACCCGGCAGGAACAATAATATTATAGCAATTATTAATTGTAAAATTCATTTTTGTTTTTAAAGTCCAAAATGGCCATTATATGCCATTATGTTATGTGCATATCGGATGTTGAAAGCCGAAAGGGCATTACGTCTACGTTTAGCGTCCTCCTTGCTCTTAACAGACGATATAAATTAAATGGTCAAGCTCCTAGTTATGTTACTGAATTGTTGAATATCGAGTCTCAAATTTATGATCGTAACGTTCTTGGTACACAAGACACATTTATGTTGCAAATACCCCTATATAAAACCAAAGTATCCCTCGGAGACCGGTAATTTCTTTGTGCTGGGCCTAGATTATGGGAAAAGCCAATCACTAGACAAATTTTAACCAAGACTGAAAACTCACTTGTTCATGTAGTGTGTATAGCATGTTTACGGGCTCTTGCAGTGCAGTAGAATATATCCACATAGTTATTGCGTTTTACAAATAATATATCATTAAAATGAATATATTATCATAACACCCAATTTTGGATTCTCCCTGTTCTAACAATTCCAAAATGTATAGTTTTGCAAATCTCAAGAAAATTGAACTCAAGAAATTCCTAACAGAGTGAACCTGACCATGTCCATATCACATATTAAGCAAATGTATCTGTGCCCAAATGGCTTCAATGCTGTCTTGTTTCCCTTTAGTTTAGCTGAAGCAAACGATGTGCACTATCTTGTGCCATACGTTACCGTCCTCATCCAAGATTTGGGTATATCTGATCATTTTATTTAGTTAGTAGCCCTGATAGAGGCCATATCGAACAAAATATTAAAAGATATGAAACATTTAGCGGCAACTTTTGTTCAGAAATCTCCTGTAGTTGGTAACATATGGTACACCAAAAAGACCACATACCTTAGACTTGCCCATCTTCTATTTGAAATGAAACGTTGCTGGTCAGTTGTACTCACCCATGTCACGCTGACACTGAACATGAAGCATGAACTGGTTGTCCTTCCTACTTCGAGTACCCCACCTCCGCGCGCTTTTAAACTCCAACCACATTTGAGATGATTCCACAAAGAAGTATGCCAGGTTACTCGATCTGAATCGGTAGACGTTGTGGCGTAGTAACGGCGTATCCAGGATGACAGTCAGGACATCTTCCCATTCCATGATTCTCATTTCCAGGAAATACGCACCAATGGTACACCCCAAGCCTGCATCGATCCGCCAAAGGAAGTCCTCGGCAGGGGAAAAGCCTGGACCCAGAGATACTACTGCCAGCTCACCTACAGAGTCCGGTACCACAACAACCACGGGTCTTCGTTCTGGGGCGCGTACATAAAAAGAAAAAGTGTCACGTTTTCTAAAAGATCAACTTCGCATTTCAACTTGAGTTGGATAATAAAATCAACCTGTATAAAGCTACAAGATGGAAATTACAAGTATAATGAGGCCTAATGTGTGGCACTTTAAGCAATAGACTTGTTTAATACTAATGTACTTCAATTTATGCATTTTTCTCTCCCCAAATCTCGGTTACAAATATTGGATTCCCAGCTATGTACAACAGCATCTCTATATACACGGAACTCATTGTGAACACACATTAGTTGTTGCTATGCCGGACAAGCCTTTGGCAAACTTATCAGTTACCGAGATATACTACTGTTCAAAAAAATTACACAAGTTACACAAGTTTTTACAATTGGTAAACATGTTCTATTGAGAAAAACATAAAAGGATTAACTTAATATTGTAAATGCACCAAAGGTAAGTCTTTCTTCTATTTCTGTTGTGGTTGTTTTTCATTAGTCCACCAAAAGACGCTTTTTTGTTTTTTGCAATTACCTTCCAAGCAGTTCACTCCTGTATACCATGTGTCACATGAGCAGTAATACCCTCCGACAAAATCAGAACATTCACTTCTCGGACCGCAGGGATTGCTCG